CTGATTATGTAACTCGACACCTGCCTACTCTGCACTTCCAACTTGCCCTTGTTCCAGACATGTACAGGTACAGGAAGAAGCTATGTAATATTAATAAGTGGTGCATCATCATCATCATCAACAACAACAACAGCAGACACCCATCATCGATGCATTTCTTGACATTAACCTAGACCATAACCAATATAATTCTCTCGTTCCTGTCCATTTTCCAACGCCCTAGCGCCTCCGAGAAAACATCGACAATAAAGAAGAAGGATGAGAAGAGGGACAGAAGAAGAGACCAGAACCAGCCAAAAACCCCTCTCCGCCTCGGTGACCCTTACTCAATCACTCTTGAGCATGCTATCGACCAGATCCCCGAGAGGACCCCAGTAGTCCCTCCCGCTGGCCAGGCTGTGTTCGTCGATGAACAAGACGTACTGCTTGAAGCTGGTGTTGAGGTGGGGTTCCAACCCGAGCTCGCGGATGACGGGGTAGTGGTGGCAGTAGATGTGCGCGTAGACGCGGTACATGCGCTTGAAGATTTGGCGGACCAGGGCAGGAAAGGACTTGGGAAACGGGACACCTGTTTTCGTTTTGCGCACGTGTCAGCACGTCCCCCCCCCCCTTCCCACCCGACTCTAGCACGCACAGGGGGTGAGGGATGAGCTTACCGATCTTGCTGGGGAGGACTTGCTCATTGTCAATGTTGGACTGGACCCAGGACATGAGCTGCTCAATGTATGCCGGGGCAGGCATCTTGGTAGGACGCTTGTAATTTTCGCTATCCTGCCAGAGGTATTCGAACCTGCGTCCCGTATCCTGTCAGCCATCATCTCCATTCCCTTGTTTCCTTGAGCGAGGGGTGATGCGATCGCGTACTCGTCCGTCGCCTTCATCTCCGGGCACGTTTGAGGGGAGCAGAACTCGGTGATGGCACCGTAGAGAAGGTTGATTTGGTTGTAAAAGTCGACCACTGCACGCGCACGCGCACACGCACACGCACACACAAGTCAGCCCTTCTTCTTTCGCACACTCTCGCACATCTGCCTCTCGAGGAGGACAGAAGGAGCACCCACTATTGACAGCCAACCATTCATTCTCGTCCTCCCCCTCAGGCAGCTTGACAACCTTCCTCAGACTCCCTCCGCCGAGCGTGACTTCAGCATACTGACGGAGCTGGTAGCTGGTAGAGCCGCCCTTGCCCATGCGCGGGCGAAACTGGTTCTTCGTGCGCTGGTTACTGTCCCCATCCAGCAGAGTTCTCGGGTTAGCAGCGGTCGCGACGGCGGCGGCGGTGGCAAGCACGGCGGGCGGAGGGGGGAGGATGCCATGGGCACTAGTGTGGTCCGTGTATATGGGTATGGGTAGGAGGGGACTGTAATCCTTCAATGTGGCGGCCAGGGACCGAGGATTCAGGTAGTTGAATGCAGAAGAGGCAGGCATAATTCTCGTGTTTAGGGGGTGAGGGCAGGGTAGGAGACCAACACTGTCGTCAAGAACTGATGAGCCATGCTGGGCAATTTCTGACTGCTATTGTACTAATAACGTTCGGTCCGGTTCGGTCGGTAGGGCGTGCAGAAGGCAAAGATGGGACTATAGTGCGATGCTGTTGACAACGAGAGCAAAGTAACAACCATGGGTTGAGGGCTGCTGTGCACATTCCATCCGTTAGCATGGCGATTGCAAGGAGGGGGGGGGGGAGACAATAGGTGCATGGTGGGGTGAATGGACGTGCCTTTGCGTGCCACAGGGGGGGGGGGGACACTAGAAGCGGTCGGTACCTGATTGTCTGCGCAGGCCGTCGACTCCGAGTTGTCGTTGGATGATGTTGTTGTTCGCTTCCAAAGGGGGGCGGTTGGGACAGTAAGAAGGTGGTATCGGTCGGTGATCGTGGAGCCAAGGGAACGGGGTCTGGCCTGACGAAGTACAGGTAGGCCTGTAGCTGCTGCCCTTGAGTTCGGGGTGGGTTTCGCCGTGTTTACCCTTCTGACCCGATTTGGTTTCCGTTGCTGGGCGCCCGCGCTCCGTGGCCATGTGTAGCGGGTACATGCCATCTACAGCCGCTTCATCCGCGCAGGGCAAGTAAATAAATATCCGCTACAGCGCATGACTCGCTCCTTCAGACATGCGTCGCGACGCCAGATACGCAAGTCTCATCGTGCAACGAACACGGTGGCAATCAGGACAATGAATGTTGAATTCCTGCTCCTCATCCCAGATCCGCTCCATACATGATGTAGCAGCAGTAGCAGCAGCGCCATATGCATATGGCGACCTGTCAGCAACCCTACCTTTGTTCTTCACCTCTACCTCTACAGTGACAGGCAAGCATACGAAGGAACCCAACTCGAAGACAAGCCCGTATGGCTTGGCAGTGTGCAACACTGGGAGGTGTCTGCGTCACCAACGTCCACGTCTTCCACCCCCACCACCGCTACCTCTGCCCCTCCCTCCACCTCGCCCCCAAACCCGCCCTCCACCCCCTCCACCTCTGCCTCCTCTGCCTCTCCGATTCCCTCCTCCCCTGCTCCTCGAAGGCTCCGGTCCGTTTGCTCTCCTCTCCGCACGCTCCTCAGGACTTGCGTCCCATAGGTTGTCCACTCCGAGCAGCCGGCAAAACGCAGAAGTCTGCGGGTTGGTGTACTCCTCGGGCTGATCGTCGACAATCTCAGCCGACCCACCCACGTGCGGCGGGGCCGTGACCTCAAAGTTCTCGGGGACGTCTAGCTTGCCGGCCTTGACGATATTCTCCTCGACCCACTGCCTCTCCGCATCGATCAGGGGCACGTACGCCTCCTCGCCCAGGTCCGGTGCCGTGGCGGCATTGGCGTCGCCAAACCTGAGGGACGAGTGGAAGACGCGACTGATGGCCAGCCACTCTGGGTCGTACTGTAGCCGGTAGCGGGGGCCTTCATCGCGCGGCGGGTATCGGGAGAGGGACTCCAGGTCGTGAGGCTGCACATCGCACAGCTGTAGGAAATGTCGGCCGGGTAGGCACTTGTCCAACGCCAAGAACCTGACGTCTCTGTTGGCGATGGTCTCCGGGACGGGTTGGCCCGGCGTCCTCTTGGGCACAGGCTTCCGAGGACGCTGGAAAGAGGCTGGTAGCTGTGCTCGTAGTTCCTCTGATACTTCGCTTGCTTCCACCGTCGGAGCTGCTGGCTCTGCTGACTCTTTTCCGTGGCCCCCGTCTCCGTTCACGACGGAAGCCTCTGCCGACGGCTTGCTGTTCTCATCGTCGTCATCGTCCATGTCGAGATCAATCTCGTCGGGGTTGGTATCCGCAGCCGCTGATGGCTGCTGCGGTATGGCTGGAACCTGCGCCGCGGCAACAGGCGCGGTCTCCTCCTGCTCCGACCGAACCTCGTCATAGTGTCGTAGCGCAGAGAACCTGACGTGCATGTGCGCCGAGAACCAATAGGGCGGCCGTAGCCTATCCATCACATACCTGGCTGCCACATTCCCTAGCGTGCCATCGATCGACTCCTGCTTGAAGAAGGGCTTCTTCCTGAACAGGCCCTCCGAGTCACCGTGGTACTCGATAGCCCGCGGCCAGTCGTGGCTCAGGCCGACGTCGACCTGCGTCCGGACGAGGAGCAGCTTGCGCACGTCCACCTCACGCACGTGGTAGAACGAGCGCACCTGGTCGTCGTTGAAGGGAAGACGCTCATAGTGCGGCTTTGAGTAGTCGAAGCCCTTCCAGATGCCCGACATACCCGCGATGCGGACGGGCCCCAGGCGCAGGACGTTGGCGGCGCCCATGTAGTAGATGTTGGGGGCCACCCAGCCGCCGTAGTACAGCTCCCACAGGTGCGCACTAGCCTCGTGGTTTCCCGCGATGAAGATGGTCAGGTAGGGGGCCTTAGCCGAGCCGGCGTAGTACTTGGGGAAGTCGCCTAGGTGGCGGTACTTGACCGGGCAGGCCATGACGCTGAGATCCGGGGCATTGCGAACAGCCTTGGGTGAGGGCTCTGGTCAGCTTACGAGACGACGGTGCAATCGGAAATCGGCAGCGGACGGGGTAAGGGGGGGGGGGGGGCAAAGAGATACCTGAAAATCGCCCCCGATTATGAGCAGGTCGACACCGTCCCATCCACGGACCTCGCACGACTTGGCGACAGAGGCGTAGATGGCGTCGAGAGTGCCATGTCCCTGGTAAAGCCTGCGCGTTAGTGAAAGAATATCACAGGTACAGGTGAGGGAACGAGAGTATGCGTACACAGCCTTCGACGGCAATGCGGACACCCTGTGCCTCGAAAGCGTTGGGGGCCATGTCGTGTCTTGGGTGATGGCGATGTCGTGGCACAGAATTTGTCGTGGCCGATGGATCTTAGTACGGAGTTGGTAGTCGGTTTTCATAGTGAAGACGGCAGTCTGGAACCACCCAAGTACGGATGGAACAACCTGCAACTCGAAGACAACACAGCAGGACAGGGACCATTGAAATATGCCGATCCATCTTTTAAGGATTTGATTATCTTCCTTGTTTGCTTTTCATCTCTCTTCAGCTATTTGCATGAGACTTCAATTCAGTCATTCATCCGCATGTATGGCTGGTAGCATCATGGCTGCCACTTCAGCATCATAACATACGGACGCCAGGAAGCGTTATACTAATAAATGCTAGTTCATGATACATATTACCATTTTCTTCTACACCGACGCCCGGAGACTCTTCTCTCCTGTCGAATCACCCCCATCACATATTACAAGCATGTGCCCCTGCAGAAAAAGCGAACACTCGATGCGTCAACTGAGCTACGCAGAGTGAGAGGGTGCTGCACAAAGTGCATCAATCTTCCACTTCTAATAGACGTTCGACCCACGGAGGAGTAAGGAGCAGAACGCATATGCTGAAATGGGGGAGCTGAAGAAGGCCCATCTAGTGGGGATTTCGTTTCATGTTTTCATATCTTTCGTTTCCCTTCACAGGCGGTTCAATGTTTCGTCCACGTACGAGATCACGCACATACGGGTGATGTGATACAGCGAGGCATAGACCGGATCTCATAGCAATAGTCCAAGTAATGGAGAAGCATAGTTTACTTTGTAGCAACACTGGTCCTGAACGATTGCGTTAGCAAGTGCTCTTCCTTTTCAGAAAGGATAAGGCTGGAACATACTGGTCCAGACCAAGGTAGTCCGCAGCGGCGAGCAGTTCCAAGCAGATCTCGACGGGGATGTCAATGTCGGGAACGTCGTCACTGTCTCTGTAGCGGTACCAGTAATGGAAGTACTCGACAACCTTGTCAAGGACCACGGCACTGTTGGACGGTTAGCCTTCCCCCCTTGACTGCACCGAGCATACATTTGTCCCAGGGTGGCCGTCGACCGAAGGGCTAGGAGTCAGATCAAGTGTAGTGTTGAATCAACCGAAACGCGCCGGAAATGGTGGGGTTTCGTCAAACGCGGCATAATCGCCCATCTCATCATCCAGCCTGTAGTGTCGGACAATGGTCAGGAAGACACCCTAAACCCTTTCTCACCTTATCTCTTGAAAGACGCATCGGGCAGTCTTGGCCTCGACAAAGCCGCTCCTCGGGTCAAGCATGCCCTTGATTATGGGGCTCACCATCGTCGCCTCGCGGAGAACCACAAACTCGAAGCCATCGCCCGCTACGAGCGTGACATATTTCGACTCCATCGTGCTGTGCGTGTCTTCCAGACCCGGTTCACGGAACCATCAAGCGCCTGCTTGTTCTTCTCAGCGGCCAAAAAAAAGGTGCCTCCTCTCCCGGATAGTGGTTCAGATACTCATCGACGAGGGAAGTCTTTATCTGAGGAAGAAACAGCCTTTGGCTGGGGACGATGCAGACGTGTGCGCGCGCAAGCGAGAAAGAGAGAGACGGAATCGAAACAAGAAGAAAGAAGGGAAACAGAAAAACCTTCGTTTCCGCCAAAGCGTGACCGATGAGCGTCGGTGCACGGGCCACATACGGAAGCCTAGCGGCTCCCCGTAGGCGGTGGAAATCAGGCCAATCAGGGTGGGTAGCGGCTGCCTATCTGAGGCTGTGACTACGTCGTAGCGGGTTCTCAGCAGGTATGTGCCCTATAATTCATAGTCTTACAGCGGGGAGCTGCCGTAGCCGCTGAAAAAAGGTCTCCGCCTTTGGGCCTTGATGCTGAGGTGGGCAGGTAGGGATACGCTGTGCTACGGGGCAGCTACGGGCAGCTACGCCGTACATTATTAGTGCTGCGTGGTGCTGATGGGGTGCGGGCGGTCCCGGTCCACTATAAATACAAGGGCTGAGTGCCTGAAACATTCCCTATCGTCGGACGGTTGCCCCCCCAACAAAACTTCCTGTTGACTTTTCCCTCTCTCTGCTCCTCTGCTGCGCCGTCATAGGGAACCGCACGCACACACCCCCGGGAACAACTGGCGGGCCTTTCTTCTGCATTGTTTGATACGAGCCCAAGTACACACACACACCCCCTCCTTCCTCCTCCTCCCTCTCCCTTCTCTTCCATTTCTTCCCTTTTTCATCATCTCCCAAAGATATCTCATCTTCTTACATTCCAACAATCTCCCAATCCCCGCGTCACTCTGTACGATCTAGGAAATAAAGCCGTCTTGCGTATTCTCGACAAACACCACACACAGCCCACGCGCCACAGAAAACGGCTTCAAAAACAACGTCATCAATCATCAAACGTTGTCGCAACGGTTGAAAGACGCTCAACCACCGCGACTTACGACCTGCTTCCCCCCCCCCCCCCCCCCCCCTCCTTTACCGTGGAAATCAGTAGTCTTCCGAGACACAATAGACAGGGAGAACAGGAAACGACAGAGCAGAGGAAAGAAGAAGGGACGTATGATGGCATCGTACCAGTACCGCAACAACCACCAGTACGATCAGACTCGCCGGGACCAGCACACTCGTTCTAGCGACGGAACTGCCAGCACCACCTACAGCTCGTCAACAGGTCGCGAGTCTGCGGCCACAGAAGCCACGGAGCCTCCAACCTACTCCAAGAAGATTGTCGTCGTCGGCGACGGCGGCTGCGGCAAGACATGTCTTCTCATAAGCTACAGTCAGGGATACTTTCCAGAAGTATGGCTCTCTCTTCCTCACCCTCTGCCATGGACACAGACCCGATCACATGGAGACGAAATGCTGACTGTTGACAAGAAATACGTCCCTACCGTCTTTGAGAACTACATTGCCTACCCGGTCCACTCCCCTTCCGGTAAGACGGTCGAGCTGGCCCTGTGGGATACGGCCGGCCAAGAAGAGTACGACCGTCTGCGACCTCTCTCGTACCCCGAGACGGACCTGGTGCTCGTCTGCTTTGCTGTAGACTGCCCCAACTCTCTCGACAATGTGTTGGACAAGGTATGCTACTCTGCTCAACCTCCTCGCATACCTCTCCCTCCCCCCCCACATGATAGCAGTAGACACTGACGCCTTCTCTCTTCCAGTGGTATCCCGAGGTCCTTCATTTCTGCCCGTACACGCCCTTGATCCTTGTCGGCCTCAAGACGGACCTTCGTCACAAGAAGACGTGCATCGACATGCTGAAGACACAGGGTCTCACCCCCGTCACCTCGGACCAGGGCAAGGCCGTCGCCACCAAGATGAACGCCCAGTACATGGAGTGCAGCAGCAAGGAGGCCAAGGGTGTCGACGACATCTTTGAACGCGCCATCCTCACCGTCGTCTCTAACGACCGTAGGAACCTCGAGTCGCCCTCTGGAGGCGGCGGAGGCGGTCGTTCTGGTTCTGGCCACGTCTCTAAGTCTTCGATTCCCGGCGTGGGCATCCCTAAGAGGAAAAAGAGAAAGTGTCAGTTTCTTTGAGAGGGATCGTCCCCGGTGTTTTATGCAAGAGAAATGCATCCACGAGTCTTTTTTCTTTCTACCCTTGTAATGACCAACCGCACGAAACCTTTTTTTTTTCTTTTTTTTGTTCTCTCTTTTTCTCTCACATTATTATTCAGTTTCTTTGCGTTTTACGAGGCGCCGTTCCTGGTGATGGATAGTCCACGAGTATTGAGGACAAGTCCGCAGTCAGAAGGGGGTATCTGGATCTGGGGGAAAACATTTGTTTGGCGAATCCTCTATGGAAAAAGGAGGCGAACCGGCTCAAAGGGAATAAAGGGTATATATGTCTGGTGTGTATACGGTAGATTGGGAGGAACCTTTTTTTTTCCTTCTTCAGGTTTTTCATTCCTTATTTTTTTTTGTACTACTTGCTTGATGCAAGCAGTCTTCTCTTTTTGTATTGTTTGAGCATTCCCTTAATCTTTTATTGAGCATGGCATCTGGGAGGAGGGTTTAGTGGAAAGGATAGTAAATTTGACATAATGTTTTTTGTTATTCAGCTGGTTGTGTCTTGATTGTGATTATGGTCTTATGTGAAGCATGGTCGTCTCTTCGTAATGGTATCATCTTGCGCGCAAGTGGAATCGGAGTGTCCAAACTCTTGGCCAGAATTATCATGGTCAGACCCCCCTCCCCTTGTTGTATCGTTCTTCGTGATTCGACGTCTTGGCTGTATTCGTTCTTCTTCTTCGATCTTGTTGTCGTGGTTGTTGGTCCGTGGTATGGTCACTTGTTCTCCCCTTCGCCCTCTGCCTTTGTTGCACCTGCAGCTCCAGCTCCAGAGGTGATGGGTCCAGAATCATCCCTCGGAGCCATGACATTCTCAAACTGGGACCAGAGGGCCTCTACCGAGGAGAATTCGTTGCCCACCGCTACCACGGACTCGAGGGATCGGTTGAGTTTGTTGATGCTGGCGAGGACATGCTCGAAGCTCTTGAGATAGGTGTCAGCTACAATCTGACATATTATCCCTGCGGGAGGAAGAGAAACAGAAGAAGAGATGATGATGGAAAAGAGAAAAAAAGAGAGAGAGAGATGGTAGGGGGAGGAGGAGGGGGGGGAGGAGGAGGGAAGAAAGGGGAGGGATGGGAAGGAGTGAAGAAAAGCAAAGAGAAGGGGAAAGCAAGAGAAAGAGAAAAAATATACCATGGCAATTTCACCCAGGAGAGCTTCACGCTGGATTTCAAAGTCGGACTTTTCGCGATCCATCTTTTTGTCGAATAGTTCAGTTGTGATACAATGTGTTTGATGTTTGGGGAAACGCGTCGGGGAGGTGGGGGTTTGACACTTTTCTTAGTACATGTGTGTACGTACGGAGTATTAATACATATTATATCACCTCCCTCCCCCTCCCCCTTCTTTTGTACTACAGTCTACATGCAGTGCGGCTCTTCTACCCTCGAATTATCTCACACAGCTCATCTTCAACAACACTCGACTGCTTCAACACTCCAAATGATCATTATGCACGTATCACTGTTCAAGTTTAACATTTTTAAATTGGGAATATAACAGAAAAAGGATATATGTATATATGTCAAAACGTGGAAGAAGAGGAAAAATAATAAGAATAAGAAAAAGACAAACAAGGTATGCAATCAATCCTCCCCTTCGTAACCCCAAAGATCATCATACCTCAAGGAGAGAGAGAGAGAGAGAGAAACCCTCCACGACACAGCAGTAGAAGAGAAGGTAGAGGGGGGAACGGTACGACGTCATGTCCGATCAATCTATACCAATCAATCAAGACATGATGAGATCCTATCGCCCATATGGATCAGGATGTCTGTCATACTCCTGCGGCCTGAGTCCCCTAGTCAATACGTCGCGAGGATCCCTCCCATCTCTGAGCTGCAGATCCCTAGGATCAGGCGGACCACCGGGGGGAGGGTACCCCTGACCGGGACCGGATGGCGGTGGCGCTCTGCCATCGTACCCAACTGGCGTGTAGCTTCTAGCAGGTGCCATGTCGCGCGGATCTCGGGGCTGAGGGGTAGACGCGTAGCGTGGGTAGGCCTGAGCCGGCGGCACCGTGTCGGCCGGTCTGGATGACGGAGGCGGTGGCGGTGGCGCGTACCGTCCCTGCGGCTGCTGGGAGGCGTACATGACGCGCTCGTCGCGGAGGTTGGGGTGCGAGGCCCATGTGCCCGAGGCCTTGGGCTGCGACGACCACGATCCACCACCAGCCTGCTGCTGAGGTTGCTGCGGCCACGAGTCCCGTGCAGATGGTGGCTCTCGGGACCTCGGGCCTGGGTTCCCGTGCAGGGAGAATGCCGGCGGAGGAGACGAGGCGTGGGTCGGTGGAGGCTGCGATGCCGCAGAGCCGTAGGGCGTCGGGTACCCGCTAGGAGCCTGGTACTGCGCTTGCCCGGCCTGCGGGGGTGCCGGCGGTGGCGCGTACCGATGCTGCGCTGCCTGGGCAGGCGAGTCGGTACGGCTGATGGACGGGTGCTGCGGCGGCGGGGGTGGGTACGCCTGAGCAGCGCGGAAGTAGTCCCTGTCTGAAGATGACGAAGGCGACTCGACGGCCATGCCCAGAGACGAGCGTGATCCCGGTCCGGGCGACGCGCTGTACGCCGTCGGCTTGAGAGACGGCATGGCGACGGCCGCCGTCGACGGCGGCCGGCTGTAGGGGGACGATGCGTACTGCACCTCCGAGTCCCGCCGCAGGTGCGAGGGGGCTGGCGCCTGGATCTGTTGAATAGGAGGCGGCGGCGGTGCTCGGCCCATGCTTTGCGGTGGAGGTGTGGACACGTCGTTGACACGCTTGGACGGCGGGGCAGGGTCATCGTTGAGAAGCGACATGATGTTGGACTTTCTAGGTTCAGCAGGTCGAGGAGGTGGCAGGCCCGACGAGGCCTGCACTGGTGTCGACGACGGCTGCGGCGCGGGGGCCTGGTAAATGTCCGACATGGAGCCCGACTGCCTGTGCTGCAGTGCCGACATGGGCCGGGATATGGGTGGCGCCAGGGGCGGCGGCGACTGTGCAGGCGGCGGGTCTGCCAGGAGACTCCTGTACGGCTGCGGAGTGTGCGATGGCTGGGGTGCCGTCGGGTACGGCTGGGGACCGCCGTGACGCGGCGGCTCCTGAGGGTGCCTCGAGAGCGACAGCGGGTCGCCCCTCGCCACGTCCCTGGGCGAGGGGTAGCTCGGCTGGCGGTGATGTCCTCCGTAGGCCTCGTAGTGACGAGACGCTATCTCAGACTCCTGCTTAGCCCGCAGCGACTGCCTCTCAGCCTGGCGCATCATCTCGAGATCGCGCTCGCGCTGCAACTCCATCTCTACCTCCCTTTCCCTCTCTCGCTGCTCCATCTCCCGCTGCTGTTGCTGCTGCTGCTGCTGTTGCTGCTGCTGCTGTTGCTGTTGCTTCTGCTGTTGCTGTTGCTGCTGCTGCTGCTGCTGCTGTTGCTGCTGCTGTTGTTGTTGTGGTTGTTGTTGTTGTTGTTGTTGTTGTTGTTGTTGTTGTTGTTGTTGTTGTTGTTGTTGTTGTTGTTGTTGTTGTTGTTGTTGTTGTTGTTGTTGATGCTGCTGCTGCTGCTGCTGCTGCTGCTGTTGCTGCTGTTGTTGCTGCTGCTGTTGTTGTTGATGCTGCTGTTGTTGTTGCTTCTGCATCATTTCCATCTCTATCTTGTGCACCTCCGGGTGAGGAGCCGGTGGCCCAGCCGACGGCATATGTCGCGGCATGTCGGCGTGGACATGGCGCGGCGGCGGGCCCGGGTCCTGCTCGCGCTCAGCGAGTCCGTACGGCCCCAAAGGAGGAGCACGCAGGGACTGCGCCGCAGGTGACATGGACTGCGATACCACAGCCGGCTGGGGTTGCACCGGCAGCGGAGGCTTTTGGCCGGCCAGACCCGCCGGCGGCACCTGAGACGGCGCTTGTGCGATGGGGACTCCGAATCCGGGGTACGGCTGCGCCCGTGGGGGCTGCTGACTGGACATCGAGACCTCCCTCTTTGCCTGCACCGGCTCGGGAGCAAGCTCCAACGCTCCAGGTGCTGCTGCCAGCGGCCTGGAAGTACTGGATGCTGCCGAGTCGTATCTCCTGCCTCGTCCGCCTGTCGACGGCTGTGGGGGATCCGGTCTCTTCTCACCACGCGACCGCTTGGCGTCGGCGTCCCGGATGATATCCTCCAACTCTACCTTGCCCGAGTCCTTTTGCCTTACGTAGTAGTTTTTGACCTAGGTACGGATGCGTTAGCAAGATCCATAGCCTCGAGGGAGGATATATGTGACGAAGAAGCTTGCTTACCATGACAGCCGTCTTGGAGCCCATATGGTTGGCAATGGCCGTCCAGTCGGAGCCAAACGCCATGAGTAGCTGTGGGAAGTCATTCGACTCAGACACACTCCAGTAACTAGATGCCTGGGCCTGAGCCTTACGTTCGGGCTGTCCCGTCTGTGCCAGGTTGAAAGTCGTCATGGACGGCTGCTGCGGCTGCTGTGGCGGCTCCGGCCTTAGGGGCGGCGCAGCTATGACGTCGGCAATGGTGCCAGCAGGTAGGCCTAGAGGCGGCTGGGTAGGAACGCGGTCCATGGTCTGCATAGGAGGAGGAGGAGGAGGAGGAGGAGGAGGCGGAGGTGGAGGTGGAGGCTGAGCCTGCTGCTGCTGCTGCTGCTGCTGCTGCTGCTGTTGCTGTAATTGGGGTGGCTGATGCTGGTGTTGGGAAATGGAAAATGGCACTTGGATACCCGTGGGCGGCGGCGGCGGCGGCGGTGGTGGTGGTGGTGGTGGTGGCTGCTGCTGCGCTCTTTTCTGCGGCTGCTGTGGGAGCTGTTGGTGTTGCTTCTGTTGCTCGTGGTGTGCCGGAAGACGGTGGATCTCCCCTGACATTGCCTGCTGAAAGTCGGTTGCCGTTGTCCCCTTGTTATCGGGCCGGCCCCGGGACTTGGAGGTGGCGGCCGTAGCTCCCGCTCCCGTTCCCGCACCGCCCGGAGCGGTGGCAGCAAGTGCTTGGTTGGGCTTGGCCGCCTTGGCCTCCTTGTCCTTGGCGCCCTTTCTCCTGCCCCTACGGCCGTCGACCTTCTCGGTCCCGTCGGCCTTGGCGGCGGAGCCTCCGCGGCGACCAGGTGTGCTGACCGGTGTTCCGCTCTCGCTATCCGCCGGTGGCTGCTCGAAGCCCCATGTTGGCGCGGCGGCTCGGCGTGGGCGCCGGCGGCTCTCTCCATTCTCCCCGGCCTCGTGGTGGTGGTCCTCTCCCTCGGCCTCGGCATTTCCAAGCTCCGACACCAGAGCGCTGGACCTCTGCTTGCCACGTCCGCCTTTCTTGCGCCTCTTAGGTTGCCTCCGCAGCTTGTCCTTGAGGTTGAGGTCCTTTTTGCGGAGGTAGTAGTACTGGATGCAGGTACCAAAGTCCCGGTTGGGGATGGCCTCAGCAATCCTTCCCCATTGCTTCGGCATCTCCAGGTAGCGCTTCTCAAACAGCTCGGCCTCCTCTTCGGTGAAGTTGTTGATGGGCGGCAGTACCCGCCAGGCCGACACCAGGCGGTTGGTAGGGGTGAAGCCGCTGTGGTCGATGTAGTGCACCGCCTGCTTCTCCTCGTCGTCCCAGTACATATCGGGAATGACGGCCTCCTTGTCACCGCGGTGCTTCTCCCTCTGTATCCTCTCCTCCCTCTCTCGCATCTCATCTGCCTCGCGCATCGAAGCCTGCAGCACCCGCTCCAGGTCGCGCTCGGAGCCAAACCGTCGTCCACTCCTGCCCTCGGATCTAGGCTCCGGGGTCGGTGGCACAGCGGGCTGCAGGGAAGATCCGCTAGATTTGTCCCGGCCCTTTGCAGCAGCAGGGTCGTTCGATTGGGCAAACTTGAGGTACTGCATATAGTTGTCGGCGTACTTCTTCTGAAACTTTTCCTGCTCCGTCGTCTTCTCGAGGTGGATGGTCTGGAGATGTTGGAGAATGTAGTCGTCAACTGCTGGGTCACTGTCAAAGGTCGAGAGAAGATTTCTGTCATCGTGCCAGGGCTGTGAGCTCAGGTCGGGGAGGCTATTGACTGGCGGCGTATCGGCGTATTGACGAACGTTCTCTACGTCAACATAGGCTTCCTCATCAGATTCAGTTTCGTCATCGTCCCCTTCGTCTTCGACTTGCGACGGTGTGCTGGGCAGCTTAGATCCAGTGTCGGGAGTCTCCAAGGGTGCTGAGGAGATCGACCTGGGCAGTATTTGTTCTGCGGTCGGAAGCTCACCCACCCGCTTACCCGTAGATATAAAGGTCGGCCAGGACTTTGTCGGCTGTGAAGTTTCAGGCTTCTCGGTTTGTTTTTCCTCCTGCTCTGTTGCCTTCCCTGCTGGAGGCTGACGGGCTGTCTTCTCCTCGTGTGGCTTGTCAGCAGCAGCTGGCGCTGGTTCCGTGGCTTGGGTGTGCTCCGTGGCTGGCTCCGTGGCTGGCTCCGGCGCCGACTCTGGCGCAGGTACAGGCAGCGGCGCCTCTGCATCCGCGGTGGGGTCTTCATCGTCGACATCCATGGCATCACCGACAGGCTTAATCTCCAACTTTGCGAGCCTGGATTCTGCCTCGGGCTCCTCCTTGGCCACTTCAGTAGGTTCCGGCTCGACCTTCTCAGTCGGCAGTTGCTGCTGCTTGTCCGTGTCATCATCCTCTGAGGTCGCGTCGGGAACGGGATCCTGCTCCATGGGAACAGTATCAGAAACAGCTTCAGGAACAGGGGCTGGAGCAGGGGTTGGAGCAGGGGCTGGAACGGGAGACACTTCTTCCTCCCGGGTCTCCTCCTGGACGTTTTCTTGCGTCTCCTTCTGTACCTTCTCCTCGGCCTTCTCTTCGGCGACTGGAATAGGAGCAGGAGATGGCTCCTTCTCCTGGACCTTCAGATTGAGAGACGGTTCCGGAGTCGGAGCCGGGGACGGTCCCTTCCCTTGAAATTCCCGAGCTGGAGCCGGAGCTGGAGACGCTTCGTTTTCTTGGACCTTCTGTGAGGGTTCGGCAGCGGGCTCGGCAGCGGGCTCGGCGGCGGGCTCGGCAGTAGGAGCGGGAGCGGGCTCGGCGGCGGGCTCGGCAGTAGGAGCGGGAGCAGGGGCGTGTTCAGGCGTTGGATCAGGCGCAGCAATAGGCTCGGCAACAGGCTCGGGCACCTCGCCCATCATCTTGACCAGCCCTTCTCCGTCGTTTAGTATCCTGACCATGGCGCCATGCGACATGGACGCAAAGCGGGCAACCACCTCAAGAGGCAGCTTAGGCTTGTGCAGCTTGCTGAGCTCAGCCTGCGTCTTGTCGATCTCCATGTTGAAGTAGTCGGCCATGTCCTCGTCGTCATCGGACTCGGATGCCTGGTCCATGGGTTCCTCGCTCTGGGGTGGCACGGCAAACCGGACAGCCTTCACCACCGGCGGTCTCCTCTGGCGGACAGGTGGCGCCGGTGACTCCTCAGTCTTGAGCTTCTTCACCTTCTTCTCCTGGTCTGCCAATGCGGGGCGCATATGGGAAACCTCGTCGTTTTTGGCGGGTGGCGGCAGCGCCGGTCCGGACGGACGGTCAGTCTCCGGCTGCTGATGCTGCTGCTCAGGCACGCCGGGACGTTTCTTCCTCTCCTCGAGTTCCGGCCTGATGGGCGAGGGCTTAGCGGGTGAGGGCCTGACCGGCGAAGTCTCCTCCTCTGATATGGCCATGATTTCTCCAGGCTCCGCGCTCTGCTGGCTCAAGCGCCTGCCACCGGTGGCATCGGCGTGGTGGTCAACGTCGGCCTTGGAATCGCTACTTCGAGGCCGCCTGTCATCTAGAGGCTGGTCGGTCGGCATACCAGGCCGGTACTGGGGATGCGGCTGGGCCCTCATCATCTTGGGCGAGTCCGGGGCCTTCTTAAGGTTGGGGTTAATCCACTGCTTGCTCGAGGGGCGCAAAGCCTTCTGCTGCTGAGCTCGAGGTCCCACGGGTATGGCTGGACTGTCGGGACCTGACGCGGCGCTGGGAGGTTCCTGAGCCGAGCCTTGGCGATCACCATACGCCCTCGGGGCGGTGGGAGGGACCTTGGCGGCACCGGAAGGACCGGAGGGGCCGTCGGATCGATTGGGCACAGACCCGAAGGCTGGTGCGGACGGTGCGACGGGCGGCGGCGATACCTCTTTGGCTGGAGGTGCCGGTTCGGGAGGAGCGGGAGTGCGAGCTTCCATCTTGGACCGGAACAAGTCCCGGTCTCCGGGAGGGCGATCACGGTCGTCACGCGGGTCTCGCCTGGCGTCAGTGTCTGGGTAGCGGTCACCCCTGTCTCGGTCATCACGCTCACGCGCCCATCGCCCCTCCTGGGAGCGACTGCGGGGGTAACGATCTCCTCTGTCGTCGTAGGGGATCCTTGCGCGGTTCCGGTCGGGGCCCCAGTCACCTCTTCCTCCACGACCGCGACCACGATCGCGACCGAATCCACCACGAGTGGGTGGTCCCCCGAAATGCGAGTCCGAGGCGGGCGATAGTCCAGCCAGGGGCGCGCCATCTCTGGAGTTTCGACGCGGCCTGTCAAGGTCGAGGCCTGGGGCGACATCTCGGTCTCGGTCGCGGAAGTCGCGGGCAGGCGACCGGGGGCGGCCAGGAGGAGATCGCCGTGCTCTATAGGAATCACGCCAGTCCCTGTCACGGTCACGATCACGTTCCCTGTCACGATCGCGATCGCGGTCACGCTCCCGGCTTCTGTCGTCGCGATAACGGTCACGAAAGTCGAGATCCCTGTCCCGGCCCCGGTCCCTGCTGTCGTCGCGGGAGGGCCAAGGCCGTCCGCGTCCGCGGCCACGTCCTCGGAAATCGCCCCCGAAACCTCCCCTTGGACCGCTGGGAGGGTCGGCCAGAAGAGCTCTGGGACCCCTGGGTGGCTCTCTCCTGGAGCCGTCGGCGAAGGAGTCGCGGCCTGGAGGAAATGTCGAAGAGTTGGACCTCAAATCCATCGAGGGGCGGCGCCTATCAGCGTCGAAGCGGTCCGGGGAGCGGTCTCTCGGGGACCTTGACCTGCGGTCAGATTCATAACGGGAGTATCTCGACGCCCTGCAAAGGATGCGCGGTCAGTAGGCGACGCAACGCGCGAGCACAGGAAGGCGGCGGTAACGGCTAAGAAGAGGGAGGAGGATGCTGATGAACCAGAGCGCGCAGCAACATTTCCCAACCGGCGCGCGTCGTATCTGGAAGCCTGGAGATGGTGTGGTAGACACGTACATTATAGATGGCAGGCCGGCGGCCGTAGAGTACTACCCGTCCCGGCGTGTCCAGGGGACCATGCACCAGCGGGCGAAAGAGACAAGCGCCGCGGAAAGATAAAGAGAGAAAGAAAACAGGTGTTAAGGTCGGACGGGCATCAAGTCGTGAGGCGTTCCTTGGGCAGAATATATATATCGTGTCGGGTGACTCCTCTCTTCTATGTTCTCGAGGCCAGGAGCCTCGCCAAAGTTTGAGAGGTAGGCGTTGGCGGGAATAGTAGCGTGTCGTGTGTTTTTCCCCCGGGGAAACCTCGAGAGAGAAAAACGGCTGAGCGCGGTGGAGTTACGAGAGCAAAAGAGGAAGAAAAAAAAAGACGGGGTTGTTCAAGCAGTGACTGACTGATACTCGGACGGTAGCGATGGCGGTGTAAGCGATAATCCAAAGAGCCCGCTGCTCAGGTGCGGAAAGAAAAAAGAGTGGTGTGAATGTGTGCTGTATGATGGTTGAGGTTATGTGGAGAGGAGGAGAGGACGGGGAAGAGTGAGTTCGAAGGAAGATGAGCCAGACGCACGGGCAGCCCAATCCACGGCCGGCAATGGCTCGTCACTGGTGGCTTGTCTACAGATTACACACATCTGCGTTCGCCCCTGCCCCTTTGGTGGGCAGGTTATTAAGGGTACGTACCTGTGTATTACCTCTCCGCGAAGGAGCATCAATTAATATCACTGGTTACGATGGGAAGAGCTTCAGGTGAGCCACGATATTCTGGCAGGTATATAGCTTTACCTGCTATAGATGGAATATCATGGTCCATATATATAGAAATCTCAATCTCATGATGGTAGAGAGAACTCTGACCGTTGCATGAGTATTGATTCGAACGAAGGCTAAAGATTGTGAATGTACTCAGTCCCTTCAGCCCCATCTGATGTGTGGCGTCAGAATTCAAGGTGTGGCTGGTGAGACAATAAACCCGCAGGTAACTATCCCTAATCGGGTAGCCTATTCTCGACCCACCCTCCAATCGGGTCCGGATCCACCAAGAGGTTCGTAACCAACAGCCAGGCCAAGGAAAATCTACGAGTAAGAAGTAATACGACATGCCGGACGTAGTGGAGGGGGCAAAAAATAAGAAAAAAAGTCAAAGGAAGAAAGAATCAGAGTAGTGGAAAAGCCATGAAAAAAAGACGACGAATCATCCAACAGAAGCAATACGTACAAACTCACTTGCCCATATAGACACTTCACCTAGAAGGAAAGAGAAAACATAGCATTAGCTAGAATCCAGCATCGTCACATTTACCCTGCAGCGTTCCTCTTTTTTTTCCTCTCTCCCCTCCCCTCCTTCCATTTCTATACTATCATCACCTCACCATCATGAGTGACCAGACTGCAGCCCCCTCTGGGGCCAAGGACGCCGTGCTCGTCAAGTCCGAGGCCATGCCCGACGACGCCCAGAAGGTGGAGGACTTTGACTTCAACCAGTTCAAGGAGCCCGTCACGGCAGCCGAGCTGCTAGAGGGTATGCGTCACATGGGATTCCAGGCATCGTCTATTGGTGAGGCAGTCCGCATCATAAATGACATGGTATGTAAGACTGCGCATGACGGAAGATTTTTTATTGAAGAAAGTTTTCTTTTCTTTTCTTTTCTTCTCTTTTTTTTTTTTAAAAAAAAAACACTGACATAGAAACCACACATCCAGAGATCATGGCGTGACCCGGAAACTGGTCAAGGCACCACCATCTTCCTAGGCTACACGTCCAACATGATATCATCCGGACTGCGCGGCATCTTCCGCTGGCTGGTAGAGCACAAGCATGTGTCGGCCATTGTGACGACGGCCGGCGGTATAGAGGAGGACTTCATCAAGTGCCTGGGCCACACGTACATGTCGTCCTTCAGCACTCCGGGTGAGGGGCTCCGGAAAAGGGGTCTGAACCGGATCGGCAACCTGGTCGTGCCCAACGCCAACTACTGCGCCTTCGAGGACTGGGTCGTCCCCATCCTGGACAGGATGCTCGAGGAGCAGGAGGCCGGCCGGGCCACGGGCAACCGCGAGGACGAGATCAACTGGACTCCCTCCAAGGTGATTCACCGTCTGGGCAAGGAGATCGACGACGAGCGGTCCGTCTACTACTGGGCTTACAAGAACGACATCCCCGTATTCTGCCCGGCCATCACGGACGGAAGTCTGGGTGACATGCTGTACTTCCACACCTTCAAGTCCTCTCCCCTGCAGCTCAGGATCGACTTGGTCGAGGATATCCGCCGCATCAACACCATGTCCGTCCGGGCCAAGAGGGCCGGCATGATCATCCTCGGTGGCGGTGTCGTGAAGCACCACATCGCCAATGCCTGTCTCATGCGCAACGGAGCCGAGTCGGCCGTCTACATCAACACCGGTCAGGAGTTTGACGGCAGTGACGCTGGTGCTCGCCCTGATGAGGCTGTGTCCTGGGGAAAGATTAAGGCCGACGCTGACAATGTCAAGGTATGTCTCATATGTTTTCTTTCCCAACACTGAATAATCACGGACCAGCAGGAACGAGAAGGAGCTTTGGGAAGAAAACATCGACGCTGACATTACAATACAGGTTTACGTCGAGGCTACCACTTGTTTCCCTCTCATCGTGGCCAACACATTCGCCAGAGATGTGGGCAAGAAGGCTTAGCCCCTAGTACAAGAGGCAAAATAGAAACAGACAAAGAAAACCCGGGGAAAAAAAATTGAAGCCCAAATATAGATACAAGATCCTTGAAATACCCCATCCGTGCCCGAATATCATAAACACCTTCTCCCTTCCTTTTCCACTCTGATTCCAACCTACGCCGCTGTCTTGCGGCACCACCCGCGCGACATGTTACCGACAAGGAAACATTCAACCCAGCATATGGGGCGCATATCCCGAGGCTAGAATGCCAAGATGCGTCAATGTTTATGGCTCTCGCCTATACTCAGGTGCTAATCAGAGAGAGACTGACTGCTCACTCAGGTTTAAGCGGCATCAGCTCATGATACTGCGTGCGGAAGGAAATTCCGAGAGTCGTGATCGGAACCGCGTATTCACCTGCTTCATAAACGTTTGGAACATCGTGCACACGCAGGTAGACTCGTGGCTCCCTTGCCCTTGATCTGTGCCGCTCTAGGTATTAGTCTCGGTCTTGGCGGCCTCGCTTTTCTCGATCGAAATAGAGCAGAGAGCCCAGAATGTTTCGATGAGCGTTTTGTGGTGTTCAGGGTCGGTATCGGAAAGATCCATGAGGAACTTGTGGTATGCACAAGTCTTGTCATCGCAAAGTCGAACACGCTGATTTAGACTCCGGCATCTGAGGCCGTACTGGCTGACACCCCATCTGTCTCCACGAGGCTCACACATTCCGGAGGGCTTATAGTTGGTATTATTCTTGTGTATACAGTGTTTTGATGACTGGGGTCTCTCGACGATGGTTCCCTTCGATAAGAAAAAAAATGAGTGATTGATATATTGTTCATGAGAACCGATGATGACAGTGATGACGGTTCTCTTGATCTTTGATCTTTGATCGAAATGGTTGATCGATAGAGCTGTCGATAAAAGCCGATGGCGATGATGATGAGGAAGAACATGTTCGACCGAGGAGAGTTGATCTGAAAGGTTTTACCTGTCTCGAGACGATGATGGAGACGGACAGGTGCGAGCAAACAAGTACGAGGCGAAGAGGGTACAGACGCGGATATATATATCAGTCAGCCAGCCAGAAGCAAAACACGAGAACGATAAGAACAGAGGGCAAGAAGGCGCACGATGAATGATGAGATCCAGGTGTATCCGTGTGTGTATTGTGACACGCTGACAGCTGCCGTTGACTGATGGGAGCTGTTTTTCTTTTCTTTTCGGAATCTAGACTACCTCCTGCTCCTACCCATCTCAGCATGACGGCTCCCCGATCAGCCCCTTGAACTCCCTCAGCGCCTCCTCCCAGACCTCCCGTCCCTCGCCCTCGGCCCAGATCCCGACGGCCTCGACGCCACCTAGGTCATCCCTCATGTGGTCCTCGCTCGTCGTCCCATCGAGAACCGTGACGCCCTCCAGCCCCAGAACGAGAGCGTAGTAGGCGGCGGGCGTGGAGTCGATCCCAGCACCTCGCGCCACCTTCACGACGGGCTCGCTGCTCGCCAGGCTCGGGTTGGCCGACAGCGTCCAGAAGGACTGGAAGACGACGTCCATCTCCCTGCAGAAGGCGCGGATGTGGACCTCGTAGCCCGTGAGGTCGTGGAATCTGTTCTGCACGACGGCCGGCCTCACCCCCTCGGTGCCCGCGTTGTCCCAGATGCTCTCGAGGACGGGGAGGGTGACGTTGGAGATGCCCAGGTTGCGGACAGGATGGGGCGTGTAGGTCGACAGAGTATTCCAGACGGTCAACGTCTCCTGAGCGGTATTGAGAGGCGAGTGCAGGACCAGGCTGTCTATGTAGGGCTCCGCGTCAAAGGTGAAGTTGCGTAGAGACGACTGCACGGACTGGTGCACCTTGTCGACCAGGGAGGCGTCCATGTCGTATGGTGACACGGAGCTCTGCCCGCCAGGTGCTGTGAACTTGGTCTGAATCTGTGAGGGTCGATTGATATGAGAATGTGTGTTTTAATGAATAGAGAGAGAGAGAGAGAGAGATTATGTGTTAGTGTGCGTATGAAGAGAGGCTTACAAATAGATCCTCTCGTCGGACGATGCCGTCGGTTATCGCTCGACGTATACCCGTCGCCACACCCTTCTCATCATAGTGCCTGGGCTGAGCGGCCGTATCGATGCCACGAAAGCCATTTGCTATGGCCATGTACACGAGGTCGGCCGTCTGCTCCTTTTTCCATGCCGTGCCGTATACGAGCTTTGGTATCGTCGTCTTTTTGGTGGCCGAGGGCGGAGAGTTGACAAGCGCTAGGTCGCGGGTAAGCCGTGAGGTCTGGGTTTTAATGATTGGGGGGGGCATTCTATATTTTGAGTCTGGGAACCTTCTTGTATAATGGTGTTCAATTGAGCGAACATGTGTATGCAATGAGATCAATAGATTATCTACTCGTACTAATATACAGATTAGAGCAAGTGATTGTGTCGCAGTCCTAGGCCCGAAAGTGGGTGCCCCAGGCACCTGCTTCTAGCCCCCCCGCATCTTCCTATACAAGTATAAGTTGACACACCCATATTTAGAAGATCCCCTCTTTTAGAAATCCTCCACTACTATGACAAAACATGAATGATATCATAGCGACAATAGATATATCAAAGTACAAAGCGCCTTACTAGACGCTGGAGGTATTACTAGAGGCCTTGAATGCAACAGTTTCTGTAAAAGGGCAACTGAGAGGGGAAGGGGGGGGGGAGGGGCCAAAAAAAGAAACCAAAAAGCAAAGAGCAAAAAGTAAAAGTAAATGATGAGACTGGGACTTGAACCCAGGAGGATTGCTCCATCAGGAATGATTGCTAAGGTAACCTTAACCTGACGCCATAACCAACTCGGCCATCTCACCAAGAGTTTAACAGTGAAGCTCACCTCTGACATAAAAATACAAGAGGGTTTCCCACATGTCTCATTGCAATGATTCCAAACTCCTCATGGCGCCCTTCGTACCCCGCACATCATGATAGCGGGGCAAGAACGACACACGATCAACATACTCATACTCTATATGATTGCATTCATAGTAACTGACTGTTTTTCTCTTCGATATCAAACGCTACAGTAAGACTTTGAATGAACATATGTTCCAAGTTTGGCTATCTCTAGTCCAATGCTGGCAAGCTGATGGTTAACGTAATCCCCCCCAACCTTCATCTTTGATATATTTACATCACCACATCCCACCACCCACTCCTTGTTCTTCTTTCTTTTTCTCGTACAGTTTTTCCTTACTCGAGGACTTGCTCCACAAGTCGCCGAAATGTCCTCCCCATATACCGTGAGATGGGGTATCATGGCCACTGGCGGTATCGCCGAGAGTGAGTTGGATCTACCCGACCGGCATCGTCTCATACATATAACAGTAGCATCAGCTGACTGATTGGCAATGGCAGCCTTCTGCAAGGACCTCCTCACAGACCCTTCAATCCGCGGAGTAAACGACGTCAAACATGAGATCGTCGCCGTAGCATCGTCCAGGTCAGCAGACGGCGCGGCCAACTTTGTCAAGCGCATCGATGGGCCCGCCTCGGCCAAGACGTACGGCTCGTACGCGGACCTCGTGGCCGACCCGGCCGTCGACATCGTCTACGTAGCCACCCCGCACAGCCACCATTTCCAGAACGCGATGCTGTGCCTCGAAGCGGGCAAGAATGTGCTCTGCGAGAAGGCTTTCACGGTCACGGTCGCCCAGACCAAGAAGCTTGTCGAGACGGCCAAGGCCAAGAACCTTTTCCTCATGGAGGCTGTGTGGACGCGCTATTTCCCACTCAGCACCAAGGTGCGAGAGCTGATTACCTCGGGCGCTATTGGCAAGGTGTACCGTACCATGGGTGAGTGTGGCCTGCCTGGTCCTTTCTTTTTTTTTTCTTTTCTTCCTACTTCTCGCTTTGCTCTGTTTTCAAGTACTTATAGCTCGTAGCCGACCTGAGCTTTAGCAGCAGCAAGCCGGACGGCACACTCGACTTTGACCCATCCAACAGGATGATCAACTCGGATCTCGCGGGTGGTGCCCTGCTAGACCTAGGCATCTACTCTCTCACCTGGGTATTCCAGACACTCTACCACACGCAGCAGCAGCCGGCCAGGGAAGCCCCCAAGGTGGTGGCGGCCATCAACAAGTACCCCGCCACGGGCGTGGACGAGCAGACGTCTATCATCTGCCAGTGGCCCCAGAGCAACCTCATGGGCATAGCCACGACGAATCTACGCGTCAGCACCGACCCGGACGGCAAGCACACGGCTGGGCCGGCCATCCGCATCCAGGGTTCCGAGGGGGAGATTCAAGTGTATGCACCCGCGTACAGGCCTCTCAAGTACAGGGTAGTCCGCAAGGACAGCGATGGCAAAGCCGAGACGGTCGACTGCCCCATCCCGTCGGACCCCGAGCGCGGTGGCTGGGGCCACGGCATGTTCTGGGAGGCTGACGAGTGCGCGCGGTGCCTGCGCGACGGCAGGAAGGAGAGCGAGACTATGCCGTGGTCTGAGAGCATTGCCATCATGCAGACCATGGACGAGGCCCTAGCACAGGGTGGCGTGGTGTACCCTGAGCTCATCACGACGCATGTATACGACGCGAAGAGTCCGCTCAACAAGGGTAACCAGTGAACCAACCAATGAACTTGTTCACGCCGAGAGAGAGGTTACGGATCCCTCTTGCCAGCCTGAAAGAAACTCGGGTCGGTTTTGAGTATCCCCCTGGGTTCGAGTATCCCGAGGTCAGGGTACTCTCTTGGTTCGAGTGAATGCACCTCTGATTCGAAGAGCAAGGAGAAGGGGAGAGCACATAATAGACCGAGATTACACTGGTCTGGCATGATCTCCCGAGCATCCTCCATTGACACCCCCCCTCCCCCCTCCCCTTGAACCAATGTTGTATGCACATGTACTTGGGGCGAGAATATTCTCCATGCTCTTCTCCATGCCCGCAATCATCGGTTCGATTTGTTATCAGCGGGTACCCTTCCGGGGTGTGAGACGTTTGTCAAGCCGAAGATGGAATGCTATAAGATGGGCATACAGGGTGGGCATGTATAACGAGAGCTACTATTGTACGCGCAACACGACGGGTGACGGGTGACGGGTGGACGTGAGAGTGAGGGTGAAGGTGCGGAGTCAAGATTGATGATTTGCATAAGGAAGTAATGAAAAGGCAATGTCTACGCATTGTGGGCCAGCCATGTCAAGTCCATCACGCCCTACATACTAGAGGCAAGACAAGGTAGTTGTAAGGATCTTGGGGACTGTTGACGCGTAGATTACCCATGTTTTACGGAATATGAGAATGCATGCGGAGTAGTAGTAGTAGTAGTAGTAGTAGTACTAACATGGGATGTTTGGTGGGTAGGGCAAGAGAGAGAGAGAGAAAGAGAGAGAAGGGGGGGGGAAGTCGAGTTCGGACCAAAAGCAAATGCTACGGTAGCAGTGATAGGTATAGTCGTATATGTACATGTATAGTAGTACAGATACTCCGTGGTGTGTGTGTGTGTGTGTGTGTGTGTGTGTGAGGGTGGGATGGGATGAGATGAGATGGGCTGATGGATGATGGATGGAAAGACGAGAACAAGTTGAAACGATGCAACCTTGGGCGATCGGTACTAAGGAAGCAGTTCTCCAGTTCATGCAACTCGTTCATTATTAATATGTATAGATTGACGCTATAGTTGCCAGTAGTTCGGTCCAATGTGATTTTAGTAAAGGAGATATAAAATAATGCATCATTATTTTCCTTCTTACAAGGAAAATGAGAAGAATCAGGGTACAAACCTGTCAAGTTTTGAATGCCGAAGCATGGGGATGAAACATTGCCGGGGAGGGGTGTGTGTGTGTGTGTGTGTATATCATGTATATGTATATGTGTATATATATATATATATATATATATATATATACTCCGTATAGGAGGAGAGAGAGAGGGAGATCATTGATTGACAAGGACAAGGGCAAGCAAACGAGAGAGAAAAGAGAAGGGGAAGGGACCAATGGGTAAAGTGGCAATTAAGATCAAGTTCTAGATTCCGACACTAGTGTTTGAGATTTATTGGCGATACAAGTACAAATTCAATGGGCGAAATTAAGAGAGAAAATCATGTCGTATTATGCGATTTGAATGGAGGCGATATTAACCAACAAAGTCCCAAGGGTTGACAAGAGAGAGAAAGAGAGGGAGCGCGCGCTAATCCATCACATCATCACACCCTCCCACTCCGCCCCGCCCCGCCCCGCTTCAATTTTTTCTTCTTCTTTTTGTTCCTCTCCGTCTCCTCACAGAATTTTTTTTTTTTTTTCGTTAATTTTTTATTTATTTTTTTAAAAAAAAGAAGATTTTTCATCCCCAGCACATCAATAAGATCCCACCAATCATACAAGGAAATATAAAGGAGGAAAAAGAAATATAACAAGGGGGGGAGGGAAAAGAGAGGGGGGGGGAATTCAATGGCGCATAACACTTCATCTCCCAGGGCGGCTGATGTTACTCCCACTACCGCGGCCGTCACACAGAATGATGATGGCGTGGGGGCAGCAGCGGCAGTGAGGACGACGGCACCAGCAGACGCACCGTCGTACGAAGACGCACACGTCCACGCGGTATACGACGCGATAGCACCTCACTTCTCCGCCACGCGGCACAAGCCGTGGCCGCGCGTGGCTCGCTTCCTGACGGACCTGCCACCTGGCTCCGTAGGACTCGACGTCGGCTGCGGCAACGGGCGATACATGTCCGTCAATCCATCGGTGCACATGCTCGGGTGCGATCGCAGCGAGGCATTGGTCCGTCTGGCGAGGGAGTCTACATGTACTCGACGGACTACCGCCACCGCCGCCGCCGCCGCCGCCGTCGGTGATGATGGGGAGTACGGAGAGGGGAGAGGAAGAGGGGGAGGAGCAGTCGGTGGTCAGACGCGAGACATACACGTCGCCGACAGCCTGAGCCTTCCCTTCCGCAACGGGGCTGTCGACTTCGCCATGTCCATAGCCGTCATACACCACATGTCCACGCCGGAACGCCGTCGGGAGGCCGTGTCGTCCCTGCTGGCCGCCGTGGTGCCCCGCGGGCCCGTGCTCCTCTACGTGTGGGCTCTGGAGCAGGCTGACTCCAGGCGCGGCTATCACCCCGGCTGCGACCAGGATACCCTCGTCCCCTGGGTCATGCGCGCCCCCAAGGTCAAGGGGCAGGATCAGAAGCAGAAGCAGAAGCAGAAGCAGAAGCAGAAGCAGAGGCAGAAGCAGAGGCAGAAGCAGAGGAATAAGCAGAACCAGAACCAGGACCAGGACCAGGACCAAACCCTCGCGGAGGAGGCGGATGTGGACGCAGACGCAGACGCGGGACAGGGCACAACCTATCACAGATACTACCATCTGTACAGAGAGGGCGAGCTGGAGGCTGATGTCCGCGCCGTGGGTGGCGTGGTGATGGATGCCGGCTACGAGAAGGATAACTGGTGGGTCGTCTGTACGAGGGAGTATTGAACCATCATCATCCGTCAAGATGATCTCTCCCTCTCCCTCTCTCTTGTGGATAAAAAGACAAGACGCGCGTCTTTATTCACTGCATGAATCACGATGTACATGACATATAAAACGAAAAAGAAATAAGAGAAGAAGGTGAAGAAGACGGTAGAAGAAAAAGAAAAAGAAAAAAGAGTTTTTTTTTTTTTTAAAAAAAAAAAAAAAAGAAACATTGATGATTTGACAGCATACAATGAACTCGACAGATTAATATTACATCCCGATGTACGGGTACGGGTACTCCGTACACATGAACTTTGACATGCATATCCCGGCACACACATGAACTTGATCATCCTAGTTAACGACGGGTACGGGTACGGGTACGGATACAATCATACATCATTGATCATCATCATCACCATCATCGTCAACAACAAACATGTCAACATGAACAGCATCCCTGCTCGTAGTCCCGGGCGCACCAGAGCGCCCAATAAACAAGGTAGAGAGAGAGAGATAATACCCCGAAGATGACCATGTCCGTTATTACCTAAAATACTTTTTTTTTTCGGTACGAGTACGACTATTCGTACGTCGTATTTTACCGTTACAACATTTGCGACCCTTGATCCTTGATCCTTGACCCCGGCCTTGAGGATCCTTGGGTCCCCCCCCCCCCTCCCTTGCCACGATACCCGGATTCCACCTGTCAACAGACTTGTCACTACCATCACACGCATCAAGGGTCACGGAACTCATCCGCCCCCCGGAAGAGGGCAGGGGAGAAGAAAAACGGTCATGTGTACTTTTGTATTCTGTACCTCTTTACGGAAAACGGCCACGAGTTCGAATTCCCCCTCTACCCCCCCCTCCCCCCCCCACACATCATCTCGTGGCATTGACAGGACAAACCCGCAAGGGTCGTGTGGCAAGCGAAACCGACGCGTATGGCAAGGCGAACCGAGCCATTCTTGTTTGAAACTCGAAAACACCTACACAATAGAGGGATAGTAGGGGGAAACAAGAACCAGTGACCAAAAAAAAAAAGGCTCTGTTTTCTACCAAATCAAATAAATAAACAACCTCTTGTAATGAAAAACCCGTCTAAGATATCCCTGTTCCTGCGCAAATACTCCCCCTCCTCTCCCCTTTCCTTGCATGCATTCCACCTAGGTTGTGTACCTAGATTGATCAAATTGTAAATGTAAAGAAGAAAAACCCTGCTTTCCAATGAAGGAGAAGAAAGTAAGAAATCATGTACCGAGAGAGAAAGAAAAATTCCAAAGAAGATACAAGTAGAAGAAGATGAAGTGAGAAAGAAAAAGAAAACATATATCTCTTGAGAATAAATAAAAAAGTGAAACGAAACAATTCAAAGAGCTCTCAATGCAAAATGCTGGATAAGTGGAGATGGGGGAGGGAGGCTCAAAGCCATAGTAGCCCATACTATCCATGTAAGCAAATATGGAAAAACGGAGAGACGAAAGAGTAATGGACAAAAGAAACAATTGAAGAGATAATAATAGTCAAGAAGAAGAAGTGAGAAGGAGATTTCGTGAGAAGGAATGCGAGGTGTTCAACCCAGTCGTCTCTTGGTGCTGATGCCCTCACCATACATGTCCTCGTGCGTCGAAGGCCTCTTCAGTCGCGGCGGGCCTTCCGTCGGATGAACCATGCCACTACCAGGAGGAGGGTAACCCGCCGCCCCCGCCGCCGCCGCCGCGTGATGGTATGCACCCGCGTGCTCCAGTCCCGACGAAGGGGGACCCGTGTGCGTCGACGTCGGTGTCGGTGGCAGTCCAGCGTGTGATGGAGGGGGAGGTCCGTACGGCGCCACGCCCGTCGTCAGCTCCGCAATACTAGGCAGGTGGTTTCTCCCTGTAGGTGGCGGGGCGTAGTGAGAGGGCTGTATCGGTGCGAGTGTCGGTGCCGACAGGTACGAGATGGGGCTGGGCTCGAGCGCCGGCGCCCGGACCCTGAGTGTCTGCACCCTCTCTGGCTCGCTAATCGCCCAGGGACGGGACCTCTCCACGGGGCTGGGATGGCTGACTCGCCCGTATAGGTCTCCCGCCGGCATCGCTCCCTTTCTGTCGCGAGCTTCACGGTTCATGGCGGCTTCGTGGTGGCGGGCGTGTTGCTGGGTCTTTGGTTGCGGCGGTGGCTGCTGCTGCTGCTGCTGCTGCTGCTGCTGCTGCTGTGCCGCTGCCAGTTGGCTGTGAGATGGCGAGTTTCGGCGTCCAGCTGCATTCGCTTCGGCATTTACGGCTGCGAGGGAAAACGGTATCACGCCTGCCCTCCTCGCCATGTCCTGCTCGCCAAGCTGCCAGTGCATGGCTTCGGCGGCTCGCCACGGAACCGCCAACTCCTCGGCCACCTTGGCCCACATGTCGGCTTTGAACCTGTTTTTCATTCCTCGCATGTCAGAATCATTCAAGAAACGGCAAAGTTTAGCAGCAATAGGCCTCACCTCTCGTAGAGCTGTGCCAGCTTGTCTTTGCGGTCCTCGCTCCACTCACTCCGCCTCTCGAGGTAGTTCTGGTAGTGGAGTCGACAGCTTATAGCGCTCCGTCCCGGAAGCCTCTTGGAGATGTCCTCCCATTTCATCCCACTCCCCCGAAGCTCAATGATCAGAGCATCCTCGTCCTGCGACCATTTACTCTGCTTCTTGGCCGGCTGGTCCAGACTCGAGGGCGGCATGCTGCGTCTTGCGCTCTGCCTGGACGCCGGAGCTATCGGGCGCGAGGAAGGAGCATTCGACGGCGTTGACGATCTGGGCTGCTGTCGTCCTGAGAGAAGCGCTGCCGGGTTCGTCGCGCTGCTGCCGGCAGCGTGATGGTGCTGTGGCGGTGGCACAGGCTTTGGTCCAAGTTTCCCCTGGGAGTAGACGGTAGGCTCATTGGAGTCGGGGCCGGGGGAGGTGGCCAAAGCCGGTTCCACCTTTGGAGAGTTGGTGACGTTCAGGTTGCTGGCAACGGTCGACACCGCGTGGGAACTCCAGTCGCGCTGACGGCTGAGGAGAGGACCAACTTCTGCTGCTGCTCCTGCTGATGACGGACGAGACGCTTCTGGATTCAGGTGACTGAAGGAGCGCTTGAGGCCTCTCGGCTGGACGATGTCTAGCTGTGGGCTCCCGGATCGGCTGTTAGCCTCTGATCGCCCCCCAAGGGGGCTTGACGAGGGCGTCCGGGTGTAGATCACAGCACGGATGTCTGACGGGTAAGAAGCGTATCTAGATAGAAGGGGATAGGCCTCGGAGTGGCTTATCGTCGCGGTGGAAGCCACGATTGCTGTTTTCTGGGGGGGAGGAGGTTGAGTGTAAGTCGTCCTTGAGGACGATGTGAGGGGAGTGTTGAGGAGCGTTGCCGACTGTTCTCGGTCCAAGGCAGCTACTGTTATCAACAACACGAGATGAGGATATTGGCGAAGAAAGAGGTGACGGAGACTCTGGTCGTGAAGAGGAAGAGGGGGGGAGAAGACTAGGCAATGGTCCTCTCTTTCCAGTCGAAAGGTGAATGGATGGCTCTTGTTTATGTGCCCTGGTCAATCTTTGGTGATTGGTCTAGCGGTTGGCCAATAAGAGAAGTAAGGGCGAAGCTCAACAAGGCGGTTGGAGTAGTAGGGGGATCAGTCAGAAAAGAAGCGTGTGATGATGGTGATGACGATGAGGTTGAGAACAAGGTTTTAGGTAGCATGTAAGAGGAAAAGAGAAGGGAAGAAAACGATATCTTGGGCTGTGTATGTATGTGCGCGGACGTGTGTGTGTCAAGGTCGAAATTTTAGAGGGAAGGAGCCTGAGCGAAGGGTAGGACTAATAGTTCAACCTACAGCCAAGGACGGAGTAATAATGCTAGAGAGGTAGGGCAGGAGGTCCCACGTCGACAAGGCGGGTAGCCCGAGCCTGTATCTGGCGTGTACCGAGTATTGTTACGAGAAGTTTACAGCCTACAGACACGGACGCACGACAGGGGGGGTATGGGATGCCGTGCAATAGGGCCCGAGGAAGTGGTTCTAGTCGTATGCTTGGATTGATGGCTGCAGACTTTCAATGTTGAGAGTGTTTGATGGGAGGGGTTTACCGGGGGGAGGCAACATGCAGCATACATGTATCAACAGTCAAGACCCATCGCCCATGTACGAAGAGAGCGAGAGGGACCACGGAAAGCCGGGGGGGGAGTGGGGGACGGGTATCCAAGCCATGCTCCTTGATACTACAAGCCCACGGCATACGAGTACAAGGCAATCGTACTCTGGTACTCCGTACGGTATATTAGGCTGGCAGGCTTTATGGCCAGGCCGCCTAGGCGTGTAATGTGGGTGTCCATTAATATGAGCGGCAAGGTATATCATTGTGAGGAGCCCAAGGGTCTCTCCAAGGGGTGGCGGTATTATTAGGGAGACGACTGGGGGCTTCCAGAGATGGTCGTGCATATGCCACCCCAGGGGTGTGACAATAAAAGTACTTATTAAAACGTGAGTGTAATCTGTATGTTTCCTCGTACCTCCGTACGACGTTGCTGTACATCGCAGGGGGTACATAGAATGATGTGTAAGTTGGACTGTGCCTATAACCAGGAAAACCCCCGCGGAACGTCCAAACAACACAATGGGTGGATCCGCATACATGGGACCACGCAAAGGGAGGCGGTGTTGGGCTGTAGTAGTCTTCTTTATGACTGCAGAATCAAGAGCCTCCCGTCTCCATTGGTCCTTCTGGCTGCTTTTTCAAGCAACCAAGGGACCAGGACTAGTAGTTACATTAGTGCTTTTCGCGGGGCGTGCCGTCGTGCGGAAGGGTTGGCAATGTGAGGTGTCGCAGTGAGAGAGAGAGAAAAAAATTCCGACTGGCCTCGTGTTTGTGTTGCTCCGTACGGGGTACTGCTCGTAGAAGTCTCCCTGTGAGCCCAGCTGCCTCGAGTTGTCGACCCCTTACGAGTACGACGTGATCAATGGACGCCGGGGTACCCATGCTTGCTCGGTACGATGTTCGAAACATGCTCGGTAGAGTTTCCAGCAGAGCAGAGACGGGGAATTTGGAAGACGTGGTGTGAACACGGCACTCGTAGCAAACCCGGCAGGGTGGTGGTGGTGGCTCCAGGCTGATAGAAGCTGCCACGAAATCATGCATGAGCATGAATATGAGCTCGAGACGTACTCGTGCACACAGAGCGAGGCGGTGGGTGGGTGGCATTGGAGAGCAATTGATTGACTGTATGGAGTGCGGAGTATTACTCACACCTAGTTGTCCCTATCGTGCGCATTGTACTTGGTAATAGTATGTGTAGTAGTACCGAATATTATAATAGTTGTGCAAGTATGTACTATAAGTGTTACAACACCCGATCCTGGCCCCGGCCCCGGGGGTAATAATGAGCAATGCCTGGTTTGACTGGGTCTCAGTGATCAGCTTGGCCCTTGTCGTGAGATCCACGAGTTCATACTGCAACTACCTATCATTGATGATGTGGGTGTGGTGTGGGAGGGCCCGGAGGGTCCTGAAAGGGGGTCCTCAAGGATAGAGCCTCGACGCACTAGCCACGTAGTAGTGTCCGTACAGGCAATGGAGCAGGAGCAGCAGCAGCAGCAGCAGTAGCACAGTACAGCACAGAAGAGTCATCTGGACATTTCTCCAGCTGACAACGACAATAACGACAACAGCAACGAGACACGTCAGGACAGATGGTCGTATGCACAATAGAGGCAGGAGAGCGTTTGCTGGATCGAGTCGAGTTGTTGTCACTGATCAGTAACTGCCATCAGGACCAGCGGTCAGACAACCCATAATAATACCAACCCACTTGTACCGCTAAACACGTGAACTGCGCTGCGCAGGTTTGTGCCTGCGTGACAGGGGCGTCATCCAACGGCCGACTTCTCATGCCCGAACTCGGGGTACGTCGCCACGGAGTGGGCTGTAGGTCGTGCGTGGGACGGCGGGACGGGATCCATGACGGGTCGGAGGAGATACGGTGTGTGATTGACGAGGAGGGAGACATCAATGAGGATGGTGAGGGAACAAGAGCAGCAGCGACTGCGGCAGAGGCGGCAGTAGTAGCAGAGGCGGCAGAAGTCAAAAGCAGAAGGAGAAGCAGCAGCATGGACAAGGAAAGAGAGAGAAGTGGCGGGGAGCGAAAACACATCCCAGTTGTATCTCTGCCACTTACGGGTTGATAGAGCAGCGTGTGACGGTAGTGCCTGCCTAATATCCGCAATATATAGCTCGTAGCCTCATTGCCTCATTGTACAGGTATGGTAGCAGCATAAGGCACTGATAATATTGGATGACTGTACGACGACGACGGTGTGCGCACCAAGATTTGCACTTAGAAGTACGCCGTGTACACCGAGTAGGGAGGATTAGTACAGCACAGCATTACCAACGGTGGGTGCTACCAGTAAATATCGGCCATCACAGCGAGTGCCATTCTGTGTACCGGTATATGTGAGTGCACAAGGTCGGGCAGGTACGGCGTAGGCGGCATGGATGACTTGCCAAATATTCAAGGTTTGAAAATGGCGATTTCTCTGAAATTGACCCCCATTGATGATTGCACGCGCCCAGTCGCACCCCTCCCTGCCTCCTTTGCTCCTTCCTCTTCATGCGTCGTACAGGTAATCACATTCTCGTCGTCATCAATCACGCCCACATTCGTCCACATTTGGCCTTCCGTCGCCCACACTTCCCATCTCTTCCGGTATTTTTCTCCTTATCCCGTTGCTTCTCCCCTCGCCTCGCCCCGGCCTACGTCGTAATTACCAATTGCCGTCCCCGCTACATCCTGCACGCGCAAGTCACGCACTTCCGATGGATGCTTGATGTGTGTTTACGCCCACCACCATCAATGTTCTATGTCCTGTTTTATTCTGTCTGTTTTCCTTCCTTGCTTCCCTCCTTCCCGCCCAACCCCTCATTTATGCAAGCCTGAGATGTAGCAGCACAGGCAGGGCTGTCCAGGTTTGGGGGAGGGAGGGCAAACAGCACTGTCTCATGAGAAGAAAGGCGAAGGAAATATTCTTACCCTGGCATGAGATGAACACTCGAGTTTGAATCTTTTGCTTTCTCCCTCTCCTTTTCTTTCACAATGTTTCTCTCTTCTTTTTTTTTTTCGCCACCTTGCCGATCTTGAACTGACAATACGAGTCATCAACTGGATTCAAGCGCTGTCAGGGAACGGGTATGCAGCCACGTGCGTGAGTCTGGGAGTTTTGTGTTACGAGCCAGAGTTGATGATACACGCGACAGGCGCGCCTAGTCGAGAACTTGTTACTATACTGGGACTGGGCAGGTTCACTGGTGTATCTCGCCTCTGCATGAGCTGGAGCACCAACAGCCATCGTTCGTTCCCCATGTTTGACCCCGGCACCTTGCAGCTACGTAATACATATACGTCGTATGCGAGACGCGGTTTGCCAACCGTCCGTCACATCTATTTTTTTTTTTTGCACACTTGACAGCTAATAATGATTTCTCCTCCCATGTTACCGAAGAATGCTACTTGTTTGTTTTGCAAAATTGCCATCAAACTTTCTTCTTTTGGCTCAACAAACAGGGCTCAATATGCCGCGCAACTCCAGGTCCGAGCACACCCCAGGCCCGAGCAACTGCAACTGGCTGCAATAGTGGACAAACTGGAAGCTACCTGGCTGATTGCTTTTCCTCCGATGAACTGGCGGTCAATCGACCAAGATGCGTCGGAGCGAACCAAGCACCACCAGGAGGGCTTTAGAAAGAAAGACAGGAGAGAAAAGAGCGCCCACCTATGGCGGCTTAAAGCGTGTATCAGCAGCTTCACGGTCACACCCCACGCCGTCAGAGCCATTCAAGTCACCAAGAACGATGCCAGCGTGACAAGTTGGTGGTGTGAAGTGCGCTGTCAGGCCCTGCATCAGCTGCTGCCAGCATTCATTATTATTAGCTGGCCTGGGTTCAGGGGGGCCGCATAGTTCGTTCGGCCCCACGAACCACTCTGGTTAGTGTTTCGTCATCCTATGAGTATCATCCTACACTTTTCATGTGCGGTGTACATCCGTTCCTAGTTGCTTGCCAACGGTCTGCCAGTCAACAAGCAAGCCATCCTCCCTCCGTCCCCCCCCAATCCAGAGCTGCATCACAGCATCCACCACGACCGGCTCGGACAAGAAAGAAATTTTTCTCGCTCTTTTCTCGTATCACATCAGTAGGTACCCACCGCCGTTTTGCCATGTTGACGCAGCTTGTCAATTTATCCGTATCGGTGTGCCCGGCTCGTCACTCAATTTCCAAACACGTCCATCGCACGTACGACAAGTACGAGTATGTATGCGATGGGTACAAGGGCAAGGCCTGCTCCTCTCCGTTGCACCGCAGGCCGACGCAGACACTGTGATCATACAGACAAACAGAGGCGTGTCGCGTGGAGAGGGGTGGCATCTGAAAAGCCTCTGTCGATGGCGCACCGGTGTTGATGACAGCCCTATTCGCCCATGAGTTCATGGACACGGCCCTCAGGCCCGTTGTGGCGGCGCTGCTGAGGCGGCGGTCAACGAGTGGAAATAGTAGCAAACACTTGTCGAACAACTGTTACAAGACACTTGAGCTGCAGCAATCCTGCCGCTAGTCTTGAGTGAGGAGGCTGGTCCCGCAGCGGCAGTGAGCGTGGGGTGTCAAATCCAAATCCAAATTGAAAAAAATAAAAAATAAAACAGACGAGAAGTTATTGCTGCCCAAAACACTCCAAAGCACCCAACTGACGCCTACTTACGAGGCGCAACGGATCATAAGCCCATGGCTGCGGTTAAAAAAAAAAAGAGAGAAAGGACTCAGCGCACACACGGACATTTCGGGATACTCTTTTTTCCCACACTCCCATCACCAGCCTTCCTAGGCACACAAGAGGGAGTTTCTTGGAGGCTATATGCCTCGAGCGCCAACCAAGGACAGTCAGCATATCGTCGCCGGACCTATCTGCTGCTCTACACGGGGGGCGCCGTGGTCTCGTGAGCACGACTGTATGTATGTGGGCTGAGAGGCCCGCAAGTTTTCCGACCTATCGCTGTACAGAGATGGGTTTTTCGGGATAAATCCGCCCAGGATTGGAGGATAATCAGGTGAAGAAGAAGACGATTGGAGCAGAACAGCCTACAGAGTATATCACACGGGTCGGGGTCGCTAATAGAGGATAACCGCTGACCAGTGAACGGGTGAGAGTCGCAAGCCTCGTGAAGACTTTTCTCAAAGACTTGGTTACGCATTGCTGTTGCTGTGTTGGCTCATATGCACCCCCGTCTCTTAGAGCACAATGCTCGCCACCGCCTTTAATGGGTCAGTATGAGTAGGCTTCCTACGGTTTTGCCTGCTCTCCCTCTCTCCATAACCCTCTCCCTCTCTCCCTCTTCCTCTCTCTCTCTCTCCCTCCCTCTCTCTCTCTCTCTCTCTCTCTCTCTCACGCCCTCGCCCTCGCCAGCGCCGCAACCAATAGGACATGAGTAACAGGTAGGAGGAAGGGTATCAGGACAGCAAGAGAGTCGGGGAGGGATCCTGCAGAGTGTAGGTGAGATGGGGGAGAAAACCGGTGAGACGGCTATGGACACGCCCCCGAACAAGGTATGCAGAGCTACCCTCTCTTGCAAGTCCCTTTTTATTTGCAGTTCAGTACCCCACAAGGGGAGCCTTATGGGAATCGTGTAGGGGAGAGGGGGGAGATCGAGTAATCAGCATGCTACTGAACTTCTTTCCTCCGAGCTAGAGTGTCAGGCGGCAAAAAGAAGATAAAACAGGAGAAAAACAGGACGTGGCGGTGAGAAGATCGCTGGCTTGAGATCGGCACCGGCCGATTGTTCACACAGGCTTTCAAAAAGGCAAGTCGGGCATCAAGATCTAGACTGCATCACTGCATCAGCCACCCATCGATCAATAATACCCCATGCTTCTGATATTGTAATGGATTGAGACATTCTCTCTCTCTGTCTCTGTCTCTCTCTGTCTTTTCGATAGTAAGAATCTTATCCTTTCGCAGGCGGAGCGAGGGGGCGCAGATCGCGTGGTGACGTGTGTAGTTCTGCCTAGAAGATACGATAGGGAATGAGAACCGGATATGGCGTTGAGGCGAAGAGTAACGAAGTAATCGATAGATCCAAACAAGGCAGCAGAAAATATAGGGAGAGCCCAACGAGTGGCGTAAACAGTCATTTTCTCCCAAGTGACGTGTCCGTGAACAAGAATGCCTAGTTGGTTGTTGACGCCGTGCCGAGTATGTGAGTGAGTGTGCGTGTGTGTGGGGGGGGGGGGGGGGAGGGAAGAGAGAAAGAAAGCAGACGAGAATAGATTTCCGTTCGGGACAAGCCGCAGCGGGCGGGCCAACTTAATCGTTTGTTTTTGGATCTTTATGTGCTTTTTCCTCACAGTCGGTCTGAGATGTTGTATGTATTACATTGATATATCGCAAGACCGACGGGCGCAAGGTGGAGGGCAAGATAGTAATACCTAGTACATAGTATATATGTGAGGGCGGCACGCTTAGTGGCTACGTAGATACAAGTGCTACATCTAGTACGGTAGGTTGTAGGTAGTAGTGGTAGTGGTGTTTTCAGCATGACCTGATTGGTATTATAGATTGCAGATGGGTATAAGAAAAGGAGTAGAGATCTAAATATGGTGACGTGTTACCGTCTGCGTGTGAGTTGTCTCTGCCTTGCACGAAGCCGAGGGCTCTCTCTCTCTCTCTCTCTCTCTCTCTCTGTGTGTGTGTGTGTGTCAGTCAGGTCATCATTACACATTAGACGAATCAGAGAAACGGCACGGTGAGAAGAAGGTGAAGAGGTCTTGTCGATGATCGCTACTAGTAGTCATAGTCTGATCCATTCTCCCCCAGGTCGTTCTACCACAGTACTTATTTTTCTATACACGAAAGCTTTATTATAGTATATTGGGGGGGGGGGGAACACGTTTTCTCTTTCTTTGGAAACTTGCTGTGCTGCTTGCTAGTTGCTTGCTAGTAGTTGATGGTGTATGTGTGGGTGGGTTGGGTGGGTGGGTGTGTTGTGCGCAGCGTACCGGTTTAGGCATGTCTCACATCTGACGTGCGCGAGCTGGATCTAGAAAGGTGTTGTATATCTGGTTCTGCTGGTACAGCCTACATGTAATGCGCATACAAATAGGTCTATACTTTTACAGTCTCTAGTGGTTATCACTTAAGAGAAAAAGGAAAAAGATGGTTATATAGGAAATAAAGGCACATTTCGGTGCCTCCAAGTGTCAGTCACGTGGGTCCCGGGAATGAGACGTCTTGATCATAGAGTGTCGTGTTGTGTCGTTACACATCATCGTACATGTATACTCTAAATATAAACATCAGATGCTATTACACGTCTTCATACTTGTAAAACGGTTTCTATATGACGAGTTCCTAATATCTATGGGAATAGTGGTATTACAGGTGGGATTGATAGTCCGTAGTACGCACTAGGAGAGTAGAGGAAATGCCAATAGATCATCATATTACAGAGTACATACGTACACAGCACAACCACACACTGACACCACTAACACCACCGTAATACTCCGTACGTATGTCGTAGCGGGGCGAAATAACCCCACTACCGTTTTTTTCGAGCGCGAACCTTCCATTGATGACTTATCCTTCTTTTTCGACTCGCAACCACTTTTTTTTTAAAGACCTACATATATACGCGCCGGTAGGAGAGAGAGAGAATAATTATGGAATCTGAATGAAAAGAAACTGCCAAGGTAGCCTGCCTCCTTTCCTCCTTGACGAGACACGCACGCACGACAGCAGCAACAACAGCAGCAGCAGCAATAATAATAATCATAACAACAAAGCAAAGTACACACAAACCCACACGGCAACAACCAACTAAAACTCCCACCACACACATATACGATCGTATCAACACCACCATCATCAATCACCATGGCAGACGTCCCCCTTCAAGTCGTTTCGGAAAATTCGGTGTCGGAACGCCGCATCACCCCGTCATGGACAATCGGTCAGCTCAAAGCTCGTCTAGAGCCCATCACCGGCGTTCCCCCCTTGTCACAGAAGCTCAGCCTCAAGGTCAAGGGGCAAGACAAAATCGCCATTGAGGCGGTCGACGAGGAGAATACGAGACTTGACAGGTTTACACTCACGCCATATGCCGAACTTCACGTGAGTGTCTTGTTTCTTTTCTTTTTTTCTTTTCTTCTTTTTTTCTCTTCTTTCTTTTCCAGTGTCTATCATCCCACCCTATGTTCATCCTTTTTTTCTTTATATGTTTCGTCCTTTCTTTCTTCCTTTTCGTATTTATGCCTTATTTATGTTTCTTTCTTAAAACACGGCAGCGACATCGGGATCAAGCGAGGCTGTGCAAATGCAGTATCATACCTCAACACGTCAACATCCCTGTGTCGCCTTCCTCCCCCCCCCCCCCCCAAAAAAAAAGTAGCGGTAGCCGGTCGATGACTTAAACCCCAACCCCAACCCCAAACCCCCCTGTCATGTTGGGCATGGAAGGAAACTAGTTGTTGTTGTAGCAACATGGGGGAGGGGGTGGGATAGGAAAAAAAAAATGTGAAAGAAACTTATGCTGACATCACATGAACTCACGTTACAGGTCGATGATCTCCGCCCTCCAGGCGCTAGGGAGAACTACACGGATGTCTCGGGCGTGGACAAGTACGTCATGCCGGAGGATGAGTATGAGAAGAAGACGGACTCAGTGCTGGCCTGGAAGAAGAACCAGAAGCTAGGAAGGTTCGACCCCAACGCCCCGGACCATGAGCAGGCCAAACTGGATGCCCTGGCGAGGGAGGTGGCCCAGCGGGACATCGCCGTGGGCAAGAGGTGTCGCGTCGGTGCCAACGACGACAGGAGAGGCGAGGTCAGGTACGTCGGTGAGGTCAAGGAGATCCCTGGGGGCGCGGGACCCTGGATTGGCGTGCAGCTCGACGAGCCTGTCGGCAAGAATGACGGGTCCATCGCGGGGACGAGATATTGGGGTCAGGAGTCGACACTGAAACACGGCGTGTTTGTCCGTCCTGATCGTGTCGAGGTGGGCGATTTCCCGGCCATCAATGACCTCGAGGATATGGAGGAGATCTGAGACGAAAAAGAGAGTGGCATATTCCTGGCGAAGAGGTAGGGGAGAGGGAATAGAAGTTGTGTAGCTGAAAACCAATTTTTTTTTAAAAAAAAAAAATTAAAGGGAGACCAAGGGGTGGTGTAGGGTAGGTGATTTCGTAGGATTGTCCAGGTGGGAGAGATGGGCTTCCGAGCATGAGAAGCATAGAAGTGTTGTATTGTTAATATAATATCCTTTTAAGCAGCAAAAGTCAAGACGTACGAATCACCGATCAAGTGCGTGCTAGTACTTGATCCAAGCTTGATCAAACACAGCCACATGCTCTAGACCCTCCTCGGCCTCGTCTTGGCGGGCATTGGCATTGTCGCTGTCAGAAGGGGATGACAGGTAGCATCATCTGACCGTGCATATAGCATTGTACGCACAAGAAGAAGTCTCATGTTAGTAGCAGACTTGTAGATGGGAGGGAAGAAGAGAGAAGGAATCGATTGTACGACATGGGGAGATCGAGAGAGAACGTGATAGACGTGTATCTCTTGGTTGGTGTAAATGCAATCAATCTATCAGTATTATATACGAGTACGCGTAGATCAAGTCGAGATGCTCAAAATGCTCGCGAGAAAAGACCTCGAGCCTGATTACGTACGTTCTGCTAGTGGCTAGCAGAAGTTCTCGTAGTACACTAAGCTAAGCGCCCCCAAAAAGGCTTATCAGAGAGACGTGCAACTCCGGCAGGTCCGACCCAGATGACACTGCAACAGATTCTCGGTTTCCCCACGCGTTACACCCCGCGGGCCGCTTTTTTTTTTGGTAGTGATCAGAAGAACCTCCAGGCCGCTCTCTCTCTCTCCCTCTCCCCCTCTCTCTCTTTCTCTGTTCAAATCCCCATCTTGTGCTGCTGCCAAACTTCTCTCCTCACCCTTTCCCTCTCTATCTGCAGATCTGTGCGGGTCTCGGGAAGACTACAAGTTTGATCGTCCGCTCTCCCGGCTCCTCCCCCATCCCCTCCCCCACACACCTATATCACCCTCTCGTTTCTCCCTCACCTAGACTCCTGTAGTCCCCTCCTCCCCGACCGATCGGTGACTTCACATTTGACGAACACTTACCTCTTAGCCGCACCCTTTACGCGCATCATCATCGTCCTCTCTCCACAGGCGGTATCGGGTCATGAGATTGCGTGCTGAGATGTAAAGATTCTCGGCGTCTGCTACCTCGCCCCAGCTTGCGCCCTTGGAGCTGTGCCCTCGCACTCTTCTAAACGCCGACTTCCCGATCGATCTTCCTCGAATAGTTCTCTACCGTCTCTCCACCAGCTCCCCTTTGCATAAAGGAACCTCATGCCAAAAACAAACACATGAGATTGGAAGAACGAGACAAAGGGAAAAAATGTTTACATCTCTAAAGAATCTCGCCCTTTGGCTGGGGTTCATTTTACCATTAGTTGGGTCCGCCGGCGCTGACGTCATCGCCTGGACCTCGCCCAGCGACAGTCTGCCAGATTGGGCATCGGAGAGTACTCTGCAGCTCAGTCTGTCGACATCTTCGACAAACTACGCCATCATTCCCCTGACGGATAAACTGGCGGCCGGTCAGAGTGGCCAGATCTCCTCGTCCGTGAGTGTCTCTTGCGAACCGAGGCAATCCCATGTCAGGTTTCTGAAGCAGAGCGTTACGCTAACAATGGGGGTCTGGAAATAGACCATCAGTATCAAGGGCGATCTCAAAGCAGCAGACGACTCAAACTACGACACAATCACCTCGTCCGGGGATGTCGCTTACATGACGTGCGACCAGTCGGACACGGCTACGTACATCACCCCGGACAAGATGCTCAACGAGCTGATGAAGCAGGCCCCCAAGGCCATTGTGCTCTACTCGACCGAGCACAACTGGTGCTCCCTCGGCCACAACGGCGATCTCGACTATACGGCCATCCTGTCCATGACGGACACGGGAGAGTCCGCCTCGGTTCTGGCCCACCTTAACGAGACGTCCAAGTCGTCGGTCGGCGTATCCATCTACGGAAGCGCCAACAAGGAGACGAGCATCGACAACGACGGCAACCAGAGCAGCGGGGATGGCAAGTCGGCCGTGGCCATGAGCGTGCTATATAGTATCACCGGGCTCGTCACCTTCCTCTTCCTCGTCATCATCGTCAACGGTGCCATAAGAGCGCACCGCCATCCCGAGCGCTACGGTCCCAGACGCGCAGCCCCCGGCAGACCCAGGCAGAGCAGGGCCAAGGGCCTCGCTAGAGCCGTACTCGAGACGCTGCCCGTGATCAAGTTTGGCGATCAGCAACCGTCCAAGCCGGACCCGGAGCTCGAGACAATAGATGACGCCATCACGGCCGAGGAGGGGAGGGTCAGGGACCCAGCCGCCGCTCAGGGAGCCGCCGCTGCTGATGCGTCCCCAAATGCCGCCGCCGCCACGAGCCGGGGCGCAACAGCTCCGGGTCCCGATACCCAGAATCGCGCCGGGACAAGCGCCAGCTCGCCACGAACCTCCATGGAGAGATCGGAGACTGCAGCCGCCACCTCAGGAATAGAAGGGGCAACAGCAGCACCGAGGGCATCCACCGCTTCCCAATCAACACCGGAGGCACTGGGCTGCTCCATATGCACCGATGATTTCAAGGTCGGCGAGGACGTCAGGGTTCTACCGTGTCATCACCAGTTTCACCCGGGCTGTGTAGACCCTTGGCTGGTGCATGTATCTGGTACATGTCCTCTTTGGTAAGCTTCTCCCCCCCCTCCCCTCCCCCCTTTTACCTCTGTTCCTCCTCTTCTTCCCCTCTACTACAAAGACAAGCCGTGTTAACCCTCATCCAGCCGCCTCGACCTACGTCCCGGCCAAGCCAGCGGCAGCGGTACAACCAACGAAGGCCAACAGCCATCCACAGCTAGCGAGTCACTCCCCCCACCCCTCAATGTAGGAAGTCACGGCGGCAGCCACGAGACGTCCGGCTCCCCCGACGTCACCGACGGTGGCATCGACGTCAACCGACTCCGTGAGGCCCCGGCCGCAGAACAGATGGAGATCCTACGACGGATGAGGGAGGGATACCCCCCCTCTTACCCCCCTGATGCTGCCGCTGCTGCCAACGCAACTGGTACGGGTGCTGCCACCACTGTCACTGCCGATGCTGGTACCAATAGTACGTCAGCAGAAGACCAGCGACATCATGCCAGGGCAAGGTTGGCACTTCGTCTCAAGGAAAAGTTCCGCATCCTGACTCATTCACAGGGTGTGAGGCATAATTGAGGCTTTGCTCTCTCTCTCTCTCTCTCCCACTCTCTCTTCTTTCTTATTATGATTATTCTTGCCAACTGCTTAGTTTTTTTACTCTTTTCTTTCCTTTTTTTTCTGCTGCTTAATTGTTCAGGGCATTCCTATTGGGAAGGCATGTCTGGCGTTTTTCCCCTCTCTTTTTCTCTACCCTGTTCCCCCCCCCCCTTTCTTTTCCTGTGGGTTTGCTTCACTTTACTTTCGAGGTTGGCGTTCAATTCCTTGGGCGGTGTACTTTTTGCAATCAAAGGATTATGGGAATGGAATCAGGGGAAGAAAAGGACAAAAACTGTATTACCTAGTGATACCCCCCTCCCTCTCTTGTATTGATGATTGACTACGAATATGAAAATAGGAAATTCAGAAACCATCTAGCTAGCATGTTGTTTTATCAAGAATGTGAATGTGCAAACAATTATATTCCAACATTGTCAAAACGCCGTATAATGCTATTCCGGTCCGGTATCTAGGCATCAAGCCTCCACGCATACCTCGCCAACTCAGATATAACTGCAGCCTCGTCCTCGGATAAGCAGAACAACGAAATAACATCACAACCGCTACGGCCCTTTATTCGAAAGGACTAATGCACCTATATGATGATCCATAATCTACCGACGTGAGAACGTAACTAACAATAATCCAGCTAGATGAAAAAAGACGAGAATGCACAGCGAGGCATTTACATTTTTTTGGGAAGGGGGGGGGGGGTTTCTTTTTTTTTTTAAAAAAAAAGAGGGAGAGAAAAAAACACACAATTTCAAAGACGTGAATGGATACGAGCTAAACATCATTCAACATGAACATGGTCATGTCAGTTCATCACGATTTGATGAGGTGCACATGCGGACTGAGATCCAAAAAGAATCAAAATAGACAAGATAAGAGAGGGGACCGAAATAGTGACAGGGAAAGAAAAACAGATATCACAAAATAGCCCCCCCTCAGGGTCAATATATACAGAGAATGTGAAACAAGTAGCGCCGGTGTTTTTTTCCTCTTTCCCGAATTCTATAATGTGAGTTGTCCGGGACATGATTCAAAGTGAATGCATAGTCCTGACCGCTCATATGTCCCATAAACACCCCCCCTTATAAGCCAGATAACCAAGAAAAGAAAAGATTGGGAAAAATAAGGTGGGTGGATCCCTAGCGAGTGTACAAGAAGTGAAAGATGGGGGAGGAGAGGTGAATTCACCCCATTTCTCCCGAGCGTCATATAATCTCTTAGAGACTAGAGACGACTTAGACGGTGGCGTAGATCTGGCCGTAGGAGCTCAAGGAGGTAGACGAGGACATGAGGCTACCGGTGGAGACCATAAAGTACGAGTAGGCATCGAGGTACTCGACGGCGTCAAGCTTGGGGATGTTCTCGGTGAGGAAGGAGGAGATCTCATCGTCGGAGCCGAGGGGGGCGAACTCAGTGAGCCAGACGGGCTTGTTGCCGCAGATCTCGTGGGCCTTCTCGAGGTGCTCGAAGAGGGTGCCGGCGTAGGCCGTCTCGGAGTACCAGTGGACGGGGCAGAAGTCATAGGAGCAACCACCGTCCAGGGCGTTGCAGGCGTCAACCCAGCTCTGGAGCCAGTCGAGGCCTTCGCCCGCGTTGCCCGAGTTGCTGACCGAGGGGGCACCGATGAGGGCACGGCCCTCAAACTCGTTGAAGTACTGGGCGTGCAGGGAGGCGGCCGAGGCGGCGTCCATGTTGGCCTGGGACGCGATGTCGGGCTCGTTGAAGGAGAGGATAGCCTTAGAGCCGGCCGAGATGGCGCTCTCGCAGTTGCTCGTCCACGGGCCCGTGAACTCCTCCCTGTTACCCCAGAGCATGGGGACGAAGCTGAGGGCGTCGAGACCCTCGGCGGCGGAAGCCCAGTTGTAGGCCCAGCCGCAGCTGGAGCAGCCCTCGGCGAAGACGTTGGCTAGGCTGGCGTCGTTGAAGGCGATACCACGCTTGGAGGAGAAGGGGGCGCCGGACGAGGAAGACGAAGTGGTGGAAGCGGAGGCGCCGGACGAAGTCTTGGCGGCAGCGTTGGCGACGACGGAGGCGGCGCTGCTGGTCGTGGAGGAAGAGGTGGTGGCGGCCGTGGTGGCGGCAACCTCCTCGACCTGGACCTGCTGGGTGGTGGTGGTGGGGGCCGCGGCCACGTTGGTGTCGGCCTTCTTGACAGACGTGGCCAGGGTGGTGGCCTGGGACGAAGAAACGGGGGCGGCGACGACGGGAGCGGCGACGACGGGGGCGGCCGAGGTGGTCGAGGCCTCGGCGACGGAGGAGGGGGGGACCTCGACGGCCTGGACAGCAGGCTGGGTGGTGGTGGGCTCGGCCTCCTGACCGGCAGTGACGATGACGGTCTCGTAAACGGTGACCCACTCAGTCTCGTAGTCACGCTTGTCGACCTGATTGTGGAGGTGACGGTGAGAGTTGAAGGCGGCAGCCTGGGCGGCCATGGAGGCCAGGACGGCGACAGCGGTGGCCTTGTTGGTGAGCATGTTGACGATGGTTTGCGGTTGTATATTCAAAGGAATGGATATATGACGCTTGAGGGTTTTGTCCGAACCAAAACGACCAGTCGTTAAAACAGACAGTGAAACGGCGAGTTTGTTTGCTCTTTGGCAGAGAGAGAGTCGACACTGTTCAGAGAGAGTGTGTGTAAGTCGTGGAGAGAGATTGAGAATGAAGGACGGCACGGCCGATGGGGGGAAAGAGATCGAAGCTGTCTGTCAAAGACGCGTGGGGGATCAAGAAAGCTTAAAAGAAGGGACTGTGCAAGCAGCTCGGCTGTGCGGTTCCTGATATAATAGAAGGTATAATGAAGGTATGTGCTTTTCAAAGGAAAGAAGGAAGAGAAGGAAGGGAAAGAAGAAGCATCTTGCAGGGGTAGGGAAGGGAAAGAGGGTCCTAAGTACGAGGAGCCAGGGACGGGCGGCTCCTTCTCCCCATGCGACTTACACGCAGGAACAAGGGCGGAGCGTACCGGTGGGCTTACAGCCTATAGCCTAGTGCCCATCAGGCGCATCCGTACCTGGCTAGCCCTGACATTGCTACTGTATTATTACATGTAGCATGTAACGTGTAGCAGCGAAAAACTCCGCAGCGGTGCGATATGATACCAAGTATTGCTAGTACGAGTACAGCGTTGGTACCCTGCTAAGAGCGCTAGCTGTAATAGTGGGCTCTGCTAAGGGCTCTGTTAAACTCGGTACGGTTAGGGGGAGGAGGAGGACAGCGCGGTACGGATTAAGGTCGCTCGGGCTCCCGCGTCGGGGGAGATGATGGTACCTCCAGGCTCCCACTAAACCAGAGCAAGCGGTCTTCTTAACAGGGATCACGCCCTGGCAGAGGCAACAAGTTGTCGTCCGTGCCATTCCAGCCTCGTTCAGTATCGGCTTTTTCCCTTGCTGAGCAGCTCGGGGACTCGTATGCGTCTACGTATGCAGAGTCGTGGGTGCCGTAGACGTGCAGTTGTACGGGTACTCGTAGCACGAGCCATCATCTCACCCCCCTCTCTATCCAGACAGTGATAATCCGTATTCCAATATGAATCCGTAATCTAATGTTGCCAGTTAGTATTGTATGTAGCTGTCGTCACCACCTGCTTCTATCATCTTGCTTCTTCTTTACGAGGCGTGATAACATGGCATACAGCTCTCCTCCCGGACGGCATGTATCGATGAACGACCGGTATGCCAGCCTTGACGAGCTTAACCGGAAAATCAAGAAGAAGGAGGGAGAGAGAGGGGGGGGGGGGGGGGGGGGGGGGGGGGGAACGGTAGACCGTCGAGCGGTACAACATGTCCAAGTACGCCCGCCACCGGCGTAGCAGTAGAATACTACTCCGGAGAGATAGAAGGCCACGAGTCATGAAGAGTTGTCACCTGCTTTCCCCCAGCGCCCATTTCATAGGGTAGCGGGCCGACCAGACACCATGAAACTTTTTCTGTCCTTCTGTTTCCGGCATGTTTCGACATTTTCGGCTTGTTGCCTTGCTGTTTTTGTTCATGCTGTTTACCTTTTCTTTCTTCCTTCCTCCAGTTCAATGTTTGGTCACAATCATGGTCGTCTCTCTGTCCGTAATCCCCATCCGCTTGGACATGTGCGCCGTCGGCACCAAGCTGCCGGATTAACCCTACCAGATCGAATTAACCCCGGTCTCACACTGACGCAAGCCACTACGAAGGCCCTGGCCCTGTGCCCGCCCCCTGCTGGGCCTCCCCCTCTCATCCTGCGCCGCCCCAAAAAATAGTCTTGTCCTCTTCAAGCTGTCTCTCTGCTGTGGTCAGGCACGCTGTTGCCAGCTTAGCGTAGCCCTCATGAGGGAGCACACTAGTACAGACTATTATATGTACAGTAGGTAGTCCTCGTACTGGTATACCTGTACAGGTAACAGAACAGTATCCGTGACAGTATGGTAAAGCCGCGGCAGAGAGCAATAGTGGCCAAGTACAAGATGGTAACCTGGGAAGGGGGGGAGGGGGGGGGGCTCCCTCCTTCTCGGTCTCTCGGTCTCTTCTCCCACCCATTCGGAACTTGGTCATCTTCCTATTGGCTTTCCTCACTCTGTCCACACGCACACATACGCGCGCGCACATACGGAGAAAAAAGAATACCAAGGCGTCTTCGCTCCTTCCCCTGCATAAGTTGTAGCTCCAGGAACGGATACAGCGGAGTACCTTCGTAGTCGTACCTTTTCTCTCTCTCAGGTACCAGCTCCTCTTTACTGGTATTCGAAAGATGGTCTGGTGGGTCTCCCCATCACCCCCTCACACCTCCGCTCCACCGGCTTATCACATGCAGGAACCAACCTGCCCAAGCGCTTTGTTCCGTGGTGTTGTAATACATATAGACGCCGCGTACCTACCTGAAACGGGGGATAACAGAGGGTAAGTGCTCGCAATACAAGTATATACGAGTACTCGTATAAAGGGGCAAAAAAGAAGAAGAAGAAGAAGAAGAGAGAAGTAGAGAGAAGTAGAGAGAAAAAAGAACAGGGGGGGGGGAAGAAGGAGGAAAAGAAGAGGGAAGAAAAAATAATGGCCCCATACGAGTAGTATTACTCGTAGTCAAACTACAGATCTCTGTACAACGGACAAAGTGTTGGTCCATCGTGTTCTCGACCCTTTTCTCTCCCCTTATTTAGTGATCCACTGTTCTCTTGCCTCTCTTCCTCTTTCTCTTTTGGTGTGTAAGGTACCGAGTGATACTACACAACAAACAGCTATCCTCATGCCGACACCCGTCAAACACGCTTACTGTTACAGGCTGTCTCGTCGTTTTGCCATCCTGTTTCTCCTTTCCCTAACCTTGTCCCCTCCCCCCTTTTTCTCCTCCATATAATATATATACGAGTTGTAGTGCCAAAAGTACGGCAGTTCAAAAACAACAGCGTTACGGTCGTGGTAGTACTCGTATAGAAACTAATCAGCTTAGCCCAACGTTGTTTCCCCGGAAGCCACATGCCTGGTGATCTGAACAACAACAAACAAGATTACTATCATCATCACAACATTACCACCTCTCCCGATGGCAGTCAACCCAATCTGTACTACTCCAGTGATGAGCAACGCGCGCAATGCAAAACTTCCATCTTTTCTGGCCAGATGTCCACCTGCCACGCCAACCCGATCAAATCGGGCCCACGTAGCCCTCTCTGTCCACACATACACACTAGCAAGGGGGGGGGGGGGGGGGGGGCTTGGACCCATACTCGTACTCGTAGTCCTCCTGTACGGAGTACGGATACGGGAGTACAGATTACAGGTAGCCTGGATATAATACCTATTGAGACCTCTTCAGGCGGCCTCCGCATCTGGTAGACGGCGCGTCCTGACCCGCCATCCAGGGCTTCCCATTGGACTCCCCAGCCACCCGTGTCGATGGATGATCCAACGCGTCCGTCTTCTAAGCACCGAAGAGAGCGGGAGGCCCAGCGCAAATCATGATGCAACCCGAGTTCCCATCTCGACCAGGGTCCAGGTCCAGGGCAGGCAAAGTGTTTGCTAGAGGCTTGTTGACTGGTCCTTTATGGATTTCCTTTTCTTTTCTTTTCTTTTCTTGCCATTCCCTTTCCTCCCCTTACTTTTCTTGACTTTTCTTGGTCGTAGCTGCTCCGGATGCGGTTGTTGCTTTTTACTGAGTGAGATAGTGAGAGTCGAGACTCATCTGTGAATTGCACCACTCAATGACTAATGCTACGAGTAAGCCTACTACTAATACTACTGCTACTACCATACTTGGCAATACACCGCTTCTAGTAGGAGACAAAGATATAGCCCGACCGACAGCACACTACGTGAGTCACATTGTGAATGGAGCCCTACACACACAACATCGGCCGCATGCAGAAAATTTTCCTTCCTCTTCTTCGCACAACAAGTAAAAACCACTACTATTACTCGTGTTGTAGAGGGGTATTATACATGTGATTGCCAACTCTTTATACACGGAAAGACCCAATAATAAGCAAAAGCTACTACTAGGTTAGAGCAAATAGATGATCCCATGAAACTGGAAATCACTCACAAGACCACACACACACACACACACATACACACACACCATCATCATCACCACTGACCACGGAGAAAAAATACCATAACGTCCCATGTGCTAAACTATATCCACCGCCAGCCCCCACGGAGAATGGCCACGTTTCTTGAAATCTCTCCGTAGAACTCTCCGGTCAAGAGAATCTCATGACACCTTTCAGGTAGACTAAAAGTCTTTTTTTTTTCTTCCCTATTTTTCGCCTCTGTCGTGTCTACAACCCCCCTTTGTTTACCTTATCGGCTTTTCCTTCCGCCTGCCTGAACTACTGTTGATACTAGTTAGGAAGGAGTATGACTACAGGCCTCGGGCAAACTACGATGCTGGTGAAGCGGCCCATGTGGCCTGATTGGTACTCCGAAGTTGATCACTTGCAACTTTTTTTTTCTCGTTACAGTTGCTGTGTTGGCCGTATGAGCTGGCAAAACTTGCCAGGGCCATGGGATGGTATGTTTGCGCGCGCAGAAAAAAAAACAAGGAAAACAACATCCTGGCAACAGATGAATGACGTAGCAAATGATGATCATGGGTAGACATCTTCGTATAGAGATTCGTATTCTGAGATTAAGCTGCATATAGGCTCCGTGACGAACAAAACTCTGTCTCTGCGTCAAATGCCGGCGGTGGAATTCGCCGGTGCAGATACAGGGTATTTTCGACGTGATACGAATGCCAACTCATTGTGCATGCATGTCCGAGAGGAGGGGGGGAGAGGAGAGAGGAGAGGAGAGGGAGGAAGAGAGGAAAGAGACGGTAATACATACAGAAAAGTCTGATAAGTAAAGAGTGGAACTGCGAAGCGAGGGGGGAGGAGAGGGAGGAGAGGAGAAGCAGAGGTTAAAGAAAAAGGAAAACAATGAGAAAAAAAGAAAAGAACAAAAGAGCAAGAGGCAAAAGGCTGCAAAAAAGAAACTTATTTGGTTTGGACGAACAGGGAATCGAACCCTGGACCTTTCCCAATGTCGCGGTTCATCTCAAAGGAGACATGATGCTAAGGGAAAATTATACCACTAAACCATTCGCCCAAGAACTGTTGTTTCTTCCCCCCACAATTCAACTCTATGAGATTCACAGCATCTTCCTAGACGTAGATGGTACGACACCCTTGCTCCTTCTTTTATTCATACACATTTCCACACTCTCTCCCCAAGAAGGCGATACATTTCATAAACCATCATCTCATAATGAACAGCCTCCTCACCTGCCTGCCGTGCCCGGATGCGTAGCAATGACGATGCTTTGTTTATGGCTCAGCTACACGACGTCCCCACCAATGCATACCCTGGTTGACAACGCCTGCCCAATACCTGCATGGCGAGGCTGATTCCAGACCCCTCACATAGGTGGTATCCCTAGGCTATCATTTGTTGGTCCTGTGGGCTGGCGAAGACCAAGACAGCATCTGCAATTCTCATGGCCCTCTCTGGGACAATGTCCATCATCTTTTTTCCTTTGGTGATACTGCACGCTTGCAATGCCTAGCCAACTCATCAAGTCCTCTCTGGTAATTCCCTTCCTGAAAAGGGCTTCCCTGGCGAATCCCCATGATCGCCTCACCTTGGCTATCCGGCAGTTTGAAGCCGATTTGCCTGAAGATCAAAGGACCACCTTCAAGCTGCCCCGGCGACAGTCGCGTGAGACACCGCCGGGCGTCTATAGTGTAATATAACTGACCGCCGCGGCCGGCCGTCGCGCATCGAGTCGGGTCAGTGATGGGTGCCACCGCGGCGCTCTGTTCGTCAATGTGCTTTTAGCTATCCAGAGATCCGTTGCCATAGGGGATGTGATGGTGGGCGGATCTCAAAACACGATTGCATGCAGCGTCTGGGTCATGATGCGGGTCATGGCGTTTGCGAGCATCACCACGAGTAGCATGATTCCAGATTGGAAAGTCCCCTCTCTTTCTTTTTCCGACTATGCCTGTACTTATATAGTCGTTTGCCGAAGATCTTCATGGTTTGGCAAACTATCTGAAGTCTTCATGACGGCTGGTCGGTCGGCACCGCGCTTCGAAGACATGGCACCAATCTACCCGCGATCCAAGAGGCTCCAGACTTGTCTTTCCGAGTACTTTCTGGCGCTTGTCAAGGTATGCCACGGTATACTCAAGTCGGTAAAGAAATCCGTCTTCTCTCAGCTCTTGCGGTCGGAATCCGACGTCGCAGTCTACCAGTCGGAGCTCGAGTACTGTGGCAAAGCCATAGAGCAGGAGACGACTATCTTGATAGCCTGGGATGTCAAGGACTAGAGAACAGTTCTTTTCGTGCTTTTCAAATCCGAGGACAGGCGTAGAGTATCTGAAAAGCGGAGACTGATCCTCAACGCCTGCTCGACATACGACCATCGGACACCGTGGAAAGAACTTCGCAGACCGACGAGCCTGAAAGCCTCAAAACCCGTACAGTAATCGGCTCCCTGGCTAAACAGCTGCTTTGCATCGTCGTAGGGCTGACTGCACAAACCCGACGACGGGCTTACTGATCTGCTGGCTTTGATTTAGACCATGTACTCGATTTGCTGAGACCTATCCTTGACACCGACAACAGAGCATACATCATCCTCGATGTACTGGACGAATGCGACATGGAAGAAAGAGCGAAAGCTGTCAATAATTCACAGGAGTTCCAGGCTCTACATCCAGCCACCATCCGTCTTTCATTGAGACAGGAGCCGGACAGGGCGTCGTGGGTGCAGCTTCAACTGCTCACGAAACCGACCGCATGTTTCTCCTGAGGATAACCCGGATATTGCGGAATATACCGAGACAGAGATTTATAGGCGGATAGTCTCTGGGGAACTAAAGTTAGGTATACCACATCTTATACCCGAAATCCGGAAGGCCTTGCCCAAGGGTGCACAGGGAATGTGTCTAAGGGTAGTTCTTCAAATCGCTTCGCTTTGCTTGGCCAAGACGGACAAGACCATTCGACAAGCCCTAGTTGATCTCCTCAGAGACCTCTCGGGGATATTCTCCCACATTCTGCAGCAGTCAGCGGTGTTCGGAGAGGAATACCATGGGCGGACACTCGAGCTGGTCACTGCAGCCTGCCGTTCTCTGTCGACGGATGAGCTGCGCGAGGCCCTGGCTGTAGCCCCGGGAGATAGCGACTGGGACCCGACGCGAATTCCTAACGTCATCTATGCCGTACTGACATGCTGCGGAAGCTTACTGATTGCGGACGAGGAAACCAAGTTAGTGAGACTGATTTATCATAGCCTGAAGCAGTTCCTGAATAGGGAGCCAGGTGCAGTAGAAATGCCATCGACAGTTCCCACATCCGGTATTGCAGACGCAGACAAGACGATAACTGCTGTCATAGCAACCTACGCCAACTACAGTATCTTCAACACACAACTCACCTCGACCGGCGCAGTGCCACAGCCCCGACAGTACGATAAGATCCCGAGGAAAGTAGTGGGTTTTGTTTCCAACTCGGGGAGTACCAAAAAGCTCGCATTGAAACTTTTGAAGCCTCGCGAGCAGCTGACGATGGATATCTGAGAACCCCTGATGAGGGCGGCTGAATTCAAGACACGACCTCCTGAGAAGTTTCTCTTTCTCGTACTCTCGATACTATTGGCACCTACACGTCTCCCAGGGACCAGATATAGATTCGGAAACTTGCAGAGCACTGATACAATCCGTAGACCGAGTCGTGCCCACAATCAACGAGACTGATGTCTTGTGAGTAAGCTGTTGAGAAACAAAACCAGAATTTACTACGGGTTATATTGAATACAGTACTCTGTGATCGAATTCTCACTTTCACCAGGGCGAGCCCACTGATATGGGCCGCTCAAGAAGGCCTCGGAAACGTAGTACAACTGCTTGAGAAGGATCGTATGTGTGTCGACCAACTGGACGTGTGCAGCAGGAATACATTGCCGTGAGCTACCGCACGTGGATATGATGCCACGGTACAAATTCTACTGGATAATGATGCTAACATACACTTGTCTGGCATTCAATTGCGGACTCCGCTGTCGTGGGCCTTGGAGGGCTGTCAAGCATGGCAACAAAGCCATAGTGCGGTCCCTACTCGATGACGGCACAGACCTTGGATTTTCAGGGCCAGGAAGGCCAGACGGCTCTCTCTTGTGCTGCTCGGAGCGGCCACGAAGCCATAGTGCGGTTCCTACTTGACCGGGGAGCTGATCTTGAGGCTCAGAACGAATATGGCTGGACAGCTCTCATGTGTGCTGTCGTTTTTGGCTCTAAATTTCGCGGAGGTTCTCCTCAGCAAGGGCGAGGCGGTCGACCTGAGTAATGACCTCGGACAGGCTCCGTTGATGCTGGCCTCTATGTACCACCATGTCTCTACGGCGCGGTTACTCTAAGATGAAGGTGCAAATGTTAACGCGAAGGACGTGTGTGGCCACACACCACTGTCATATGCTTCCCAACGAAGATACGATGCCTCGGTGCAGCTACTGACAGACAATGTAGCGGCTCTCGAGCGGAGGTATAACTTCCAGCGCACGTCGTCGACGATGGCCGCCATAGCGGGATATGGTTCTACCGCGGAGACACTCCTCGACAATGGCGCTTCTGTTGACGCAAAAGACGGAAAATGGCCAGACCTCGCTGTCATGGGCAACTCGGAGAGGGCATAAAGCTGTGGCGCAATTGATACGTGACAAAAAGGTCCCCTAGCCTCGGGTGATCCTGACGAGGATATGGTACTACCGCTGGCCTCAGGTGGAGTTCGAGGCGATAGGGATTTCATTCCATCTTGGAGGGGATCATGACGTCTGGTAGCGCGGTGATGTACGGCACAGCAGTATATATAATGTGCTTGTTTCTCTCCGTAGATGGGGGGTTCTGCATGACAAGAAAAATTGAACGTGGCACAAGAATCACACATACATTTTCTCTGTGCATCCAAGTCCGCTTCAATACACCTAGCTACGTATACGAATACGGCCACGAACCACGATGGGCGGTTTTATGGTCGATGTGAGATATTGGGCTGACGGCAAGGGTTGGGAGACGCGGCACATGGAGACGTTCGCTATAGCGGGTTGTCTTGTTATGCTGGAGGAGGTTGATTGGAGGAAGATGAACCAGATTGCTGTTATGACGGGAGGCGGCTCATTATGGGTGGATTCTTGGGACGGAACTAGATGTTGTTGATGAAACGTTCATCTTCTTCTCCTCGGGGATTCGTAGACTGTTCAATGCAGTGTTGGGATAAGTGAAGTCAGGTGTGTTCGTGGTGAGCGTAATGTCCCGGAAGATGCCACGTGACCTCGGCAATGTCGATATTGTATGTGGCCTTAGGCCGCCAAAAGGGTGCTCCTGCTCGCGAATAATCAATCAATTGGAGCTTCCCGACTCACATCGCCGTTGTCCCCCTCGCTTCCTATCCTACGAAACAACAGCCAACACCTATCCCGGTATCAAACAAGAACAGAAAACAACCGCCAAAATGTCTGCCTGGAAAGCCGCCGGTATCTCGTACGTTCTAACCTCCGAAAGTCACAATCAATCGCACCGCCGCCTCAACCCCGAAAGCGCGCCTTTTTCCCACCCCCTCTCCCGCGCGACCGAAACCGCTGCTTACTCCTGCTTCTCTCCTTCTAGGTACAACCGCTACCTGGCCATCGCGGCCCGCACTGTCCGCCGCAGTCTCAAGGAGGACAAGCGTCTCCTTGCTGAGCGCCGTGGCGAGACTGAGCTCCGCTTCGCCAAGTGGGAGGTAAGTCTGTTGTGCTGCGCAGACGGTCCTCGATAGTCTAGATGGAAAGCTAAAATAACCTCACAAACAAACAGAACGGCAAGGCTGGCGAGGCCAAGGAACCAACCAACTCCGTCCAGGGCTCGTCCAACTAAGTATTTGAACGAAATACTCGCATACGGAGCGACGGGACGGATGACCATGACCACCGGAGTGGTGAATTCGATGGTGGAGGGGGTATGAGGAGAATGGACCGGCGACAACCGAGCGCGCGCCGACGCTGCTGATATACGCACGCTTCTCAAGTGCTACTGTACCATAGACGGTTTTTCTTTCCCGGAGAGAGAGATCTTCTTTTTGATCATGAAAGAAACATCTCTCTGATTTGCCGTGCACCTTGAAACGTCGGCGCCTGATGGCTTTCTTTTTCTCCCTCTTTCCGTCGTGAACTTTCCACTGCCTGTTCCTGTTCGTCCGTCCGGGCAGCTCCGTCATCTCATTCGAATGTGTCGGCGTTGTGCATACGTATGCGATGTGTGCGCAGCGGTCATTCGTCCAGACTGCTCTTTTGCGTCTTTTCTTCTTTTTGCCATGGCGATTGATAGAATATAAACTACGTAGTGCCCCCTCGGATATCCGACCAAGTGTGTTGTCTAACCTTTCTGCAAACCCAGATTGAACCTCCAACGTCCGCGGATCAAGTCCTTTCAAGGCGTATAGTATATCATCTTGGACCCTGACCCCCTCAACCTCTCATCGGCATAACGCAGCGCCCAGTCCTTGAACTGCTCGATGTCGAACTCTTCCACCCATCCTCTTCTCTGCAGCGCGCGGATCGCGTCCATAATCCACGTCACGCAGCTCTGCTGGGGATGCGTGTTCTTGACAGGCAGGGGGACCGCTCCGAAGAAGGCCCTGAGCTCGGCGGCATCTGGCATGGAGCCATCTTCCTCCGGGATCTTCCCGACGACGACACGGCCCAGGAGCTTGGGATTAGCTTCGCTGTCAATCCTCTCCTCGGCTCGGAGCCACCAGTCCATGGTGGGGTTGTTCATGCGAAAGGTGACGGGGTCAATCTCCGCCGTGTCGGTGGCATCGAAAGAGCTGTCTAGAGATGGCGATGGCGATGGCCCCTGGCTTGTTGCCTCGAGCGGTGGTGTGATGACGAAACCCCAATGGTAAGCCTCGTGGCCGAATATGCGACGTGAGTCTCCGCGAGAGAACTGATCGCGATGGTACAGGGCCACAGTGATGAGATAGGCCATGGTTGCAAGCTGATGTTGCAGCATTCTCTCTTATCAGCAATGCCACGGTACTTTTTCCTGCCAACTCAAAACTCACCAGTCTGTCAACGCTCATATACAAGTAGACAAGTAATCAAGTAGAGAGGATGGAACACTGCTAAGCAAAACAAGAAGGGGAGAGGTGGGGGCGGATAAGAGTAATTCACGGCTGTATATCCCATGTCTGGTATATCCCATGTCTGGTGACTTCGCTCTTCTTAATACGTACGGATTATAAGCCAAGATTATGCCCTCCTATTGGATCTAGTCCTCAACCCGGCAACGGGGATTTTATCAGCTCACAGTTGGAAGAAATACACCCCGCTCGGAAGCAGACACGTATCAGAGAGTGACGCTCCTTTTTCTTCCCGCCGGGCCGGTTCACCTTTTGCCTGTGCAACATCATCAGGCAAGATGTTCCGCCGGATCACCGATTTGGAGATGGACCATCGAGATCTAGAGTATTACAAGATCCGATCCACCACGCCTAAGACGAGGGCTTGTCCTTGCGCCTAGGGAGGAGGAGTATTGCTACGGGTACAGTGCAATACCAACGGGGTTAGGCACGCCTGTGGGATTGGCTTGAGGGGGGTTTACGGCGCTTAGGAAGGATCATTCTTAGGCGCAGTCTAATTTTGACGAGGCGGGTAACATACAGCGAAACCGCAGAAGCTATTGCCGCTCCCGGTTGGTGGGAAGACCCGGGAGGCGTAGACGAGCTCCATGGTGGTACGGAGAACGGCGTGGGCTCGGTTTCCGGGACCTCCTCCAGAGAGTCTTCTCTACCGTGGGCTCCGTCTCGTCGCAAGGGAGGGGCAAGAGGATTGCGTACACATCAGTCCTCATGCACAAAGCAGCTGTAGTAGTCGGCCTTGGCGATAATCTCCCAGTGTTCCGAGTATCGTCCGGCAAGCTCCCGATAGATGATGGCCGAGTCCGCGTGCGCGAAGCGAATCCGATGGCGAGCTGCGTGCACCTTGGCCACCTCCTGACCGAGGCTTGACCCGACGCCCTCCATGATCAGATGCCTGCGGGCCGACAAATGTAACTCATCATGACTCTTCAGGCTGAGCAACAGACCGTCGATTCGACAGTCGTGGTGAGCATTCTGGTGAGCCGGCGCGGAGCTCGCAGAGATGGGATATATGAGCGAAGACGACGTTCTTCTGATCCGTCAACGTGCGGTCCCAGATATTGTCCAGTGCATATCTTTTTATATACTGCATATCAATGTGAGCAGCTCCAATGTCTTGAGTATGGACGGCATGACCTCGGGGTTTTGGGATGCTTGTACGTGAAGCAGGATATTGCACGGCTTCTACCTCGTCCCGGGGAGGAGGGTCCCTTGATAACGCGATGCCAGCTCGCCCTAGAGGCGAGCGACCGATGGGAGGGAAGTAATTGAAGCTTGCTGAGCTGGAGTCGTAGCGGGAAGAATGACCCGGTTGATAGACCCATGGGCGCGGTATCCTGGTGATATGAGGCCGAGACCAACAATGATGTCAGGGGAGAATCATCCCGACGTGTACCCCTCTAGTGAGCCAGTGCTTATTGATCTATTCCATGCATGAATACCGGATCGTAACTGTTTCAAACGCAACTCCCCGCCAACAGAAGGACAGGGTCCTTTTCAGCCCTCGTTGTTGGATGCCGCTCTCAATCTTGTATGCGGCCTGAATGCTAGACTTAACAAGGTGTTAGCCGTACTTTGTTCATGATATCTCCATACTAATGGCAACCGTAGTAGTTGTCCAAGCCTTGGTCTGCCCTCATCGCCTCCTGCTCTCAAGTGGCTGACTAAGGATACAGCCCGACCTCGTCCGAATGCCCGCAGGTATTACGTCGTGCGTACCGCGTACTCCATTTGACCTGTGATTCCAAAATTTGACGGGTACATGTACTCGTACCTTTGCGACCCGTGGGTAACAATGATGCCGTTACTCCTAAACCACTAATACTGCTACTACTATTACTACTACTACTACTACTACTACTACTACTATCGGGTACATGTACTTTACTACTGCCATGTACGTGAGTGACAAAGAGTGGGATCAAAAGAAAGCAGCATCCTCAACTCCAAAACCCGGGAAATCACCAACTCTCAGCCTCTGCGTCCAGGCTCTAGACGACGAACCTATGTCATCATAATGGCCGTCGACTATGGAGTTGGCGCCTCGGACGGTGCGTGCCTTCATTTCGCCTCCCCTCCGCTATCCGCAACATCCCCTCTTATCTTTCGTATCTCCTGCACTGAAGCACACACAAAAACATGACTGGTTTACTGACTCAGATCATTTGGGCTGTCAACAGAGATCGCGAGGCTGTCCCTGGGAAACCAAGATGGGGTACAAGGCTCTCAGGCCCCCAGGCTGGACAGTCAAGGTATCATTCCAGTAGACGTCACGGACAGGTTCTTCAAGGCTTCAAAGCGTGAGTTAGGAGAGCAAACCCCGCCCTTGGGTCAAGACAAGGCACTGACGTCGTTTGTGCGCGCGCGTGTGTGGGGGGCCGGCAACAGTATTGCAACCTGGTGAAGTCATCAAGGATGGCTTCTTTACTCTCTTCGAGTCAGTCGGGGCCCTAGAGGTATGTGATCCCCTCCCAGTCGCGCCCGTCGTACCGACGATAGCTGATGCAGTGCGCTAGGTCATGGATCCCAAGATGGATAGTGGGTGTGTTGCTGCTGGCGAGGAGTTCGACGAGACGTATGATGTCTCACGGCCGTTGCTTCCCGAGGAGGTCCTTGGTATCATCGACCAGCTTCTCTGTCATGAGGTGAGACTACCATTCACCAGAGGCGAACCAGCAATATCCCCACCAGCAGTCATCAAAGCCTTTGCTCCGACTCACACCTCTGCAGATGTCATGGCACCTAGGGTATCCCTTGTCGCAAACAGTCTTCACAAGCGTCTACGTCGAAGCTCTCCTGAAGCCTGATCCTCACGGAATCGACGAGGCCAAGTTTTTGAGACGCCAGGGTGACGTCGCCGACGAGGAGCCCATGCTGCGGGTCCTCCGGGCGTACTGCCTAGGCATGCTCAAGGCCTGTGGCTACGTGAATGACCGCGTCAGGAACGAACACTCGTACGAGGTAGGAGAATTGAGCCATCTCCCTCTGTTTCACGGCACGCTAAACCCCTTGCCATATAGGAAGAGGATTTCGTCACAAACACCTACAACCGCTCGCTGCTTAGCAGCGTGTCCACAGCCAGCATACGCCACGCCATCGCCGACGCCGTTGACCTCCTGCAGAGGGAGCGCACACCCATCGGCAACGACGACATAGTCGAGGCCCTGTCCAACCGCCTGATCCTCAGGGACATATTCCTCTCAGCCGCTGAGTGCCCACAGTACGTCGACGATCCAGACACGGCCCGCAAGCCATGGACAGCTGGCATCGCCCTCCTCCCGGCCATTCAGAGGACGCATGCGCTCGGAAAGCCCGTCGACGAGTCCTTTAGCGTCAAGCTACAGAGGAAGCTGGCAAGCACGGTACCTCCCAGGCCGATTGTCCAGCTGAGCTTTGATGACGCCTTTGGCCACCTGTCTCGGCTATTTCAGGACGGCCAGGATGTCATCACGGTTCTCAACTACACCAACACGCAGTGCCTCTTGGTAAGACAAATACTGCTCTTTTCTCCACCTGGCGGACAGCGCTGACATGGTGGGACAACCGCAGACATTCGTGTTCTCATTCCAGGCCAAGAAGCCTCAACCGCTCGTGTACGTGCGCAGCCTCCTCCAGACCTTCCTTTTCGACGCCATGGAAATGCTCGGATCTATGAGCATCCGACAGATCATCGATGATGATCTGTCTACCATCGTGCTGCCCGCAAGCCCCCTTCTGGACCGGGACTTTGACGAAATCGAGGCCGTACATGACCCCCGGTTCGTCATCGCCCAGAAGATGGAGCTGTTCCGCCAGCGGGCCGCGCAGCCGTACCTGGACATCCTACGGACCTTTTGCCAGAACCGATGTCGCGTGCGGCGGACGCTGTGCCACACGGTCCGTTCGTGGGATGCTCTGCAGGCCGACGCCGAGGAGATTGACCAGCTCCTCCGGGTCAAGACACAGGAGCTTGTGGCCACGGAGACGGCCAACAGCGATGGCGGAGGCAGCAGCACGGCGCCGGCCGTTGACGTCAATTCCTGGCCCCTCTCGGCCTGGACGTACCTGTACAAGCTGCGCCAGATGGAGTGGGTCGTGCAGCTGGGCTTCGAACTGGAGGTGTACCAGCCCGACGAATTCGGGGGGATGTACTGGTATCTCAACTTTCTGTCCAAGCAGAGACTTGAGTACTCGCCCCGGATCAAGTCGCACATTGTCCGGCGGGTCGAGGCTCTCCGACAGTCCCGACCGCCACACCACTCAGCCGCCGAGGAGAAGCAGCTGCAGCGCTCCCTGGCGTACATCCGGCTGTCTCTGCTCGACGCCGCCGTGACTTGGGAGCTCTCGGATGGCCTGTCGTGCCTGTACACCGTGCTGGGCCGCCTGGGACTCATAAAGCCCCCTCCCCGACCCTACAGCGACGATGGGCTCCGCTACGAGCTCCGCATGAAGCCCTTTACCGCCATTGGCGTGCCGGAGCTGCCCTCCTTTGCCGATTTCACCCGCAGCACGCATCAGCCCGACGTGGATACGCTGTCGCTGCTCGACGACGCCGCCAGGGCGCTCGCCAGCTCAAAGAAGGGCTTCGAGTCGTTAGGGAAGCTGTCCGCTGAGGAGTCCTTTTCTGTGGGATCGCATGACCGATGGCTGGCTGCCGTGAGGAACGGGCTCAAGTCGTGCATTGCCGCTACGCTGGCTGTCACGACGTTGCAAAAGGCACTGCAGGCCAGTGGGGATGGAGAGGGAGCAGCGGTAGATCTCAAGCTCAAGGCCGAGGTGCCGACTCCCGACAGGGCATATCACGATTGGTGGATTGTTCCAAAACTAGTACCCATCGCGTAGATGAAGCACATCTTGCCTTGTAACCCCTTTTTACATGAAAACTCTTCAACCCCCGTATCCGATTGTGACCATCCCAATACCATATCGTCCCTCTCATATCCTACCTAGATTTCCCATGTTGCCCAGTGCAGTTATACAAATGAGAAAAACAAAACCCGTAATATTAGAATATGACATAATATATATATATATATATAACACAAATACATGGAGACCTCGCGAAGCCTCCATCGTGCAACACCAGGGGGCAGCTTTATACAGACATCTGGGACATGTCCCGGCCATGCCGTCCTGACAGTATACTGAAGCCCTTCTCTTCCGCGAACATCATCACTTTGGAGCAGTACAAGGAACACAAGGCCTGTCGTGTTCCGAGACATGCGAGGCCGAGGCGACAGCAAGCGCAGCACTCACACGATAGCCTGCACCTGCTTCGCTTTGCTCCGCAGTCATCTATGCGACAGCCTTGCGGCCGGAGCGGAGCTTGATAGTCTGGGCGTAGAGGGCATCCTTGAAGGCGAAGAGGAAGGCGGCGGTGAGGACGCTCTGGGTGACTTTGGGACCAATGCCTAGAGATGGGAGGTGTAAGTGTGGCTCGAGGTATGTTGATAGAGGGAGAGGAAAGGGAAAGGAAAGGGAAAGGGAATAAGGGAAGGCACTAGAGGGGAAAGAAAAGAAAACTCGTCCTTACCCTTGTAGAGACCGGCATAGCCTTCCTGGCTGACGACGCGACGCAGAGTCTCGGTCATGCCCTCCTTCTTCTGGGTAGCGACGTGCATCTGGCTCTTGACAGTGATGTAGGGGTAGGTGACGGAGGTGGCGAACAGCTTGCCGAGGGCGCCGAGGAAGAAGGCGACGGTGGGGGTGACGGGCCGCCTCTTCTCGACCGAGTTCTTCATCTGCTCGAACAGGGTGTACTGGAGGATAGGGTTGACGACGAGGACGAGGGCGGGCAGGACGCCGGAGAAGAGGGCCTGGGGACCCTCGTTCCTGAGGAGGGACATGAGGGTGGCGACGGTGCCGGGGGGGCCGACAGCGGATTCGGCGCCGGGGGCGGCCTTGGCGGACTCGACGTCGCCGGCGCTGCCCTGGTCCCGGCGGTGGGTGGTGACGCGCGTGTTGACGACCCAGATGGGGTTGGTCATGACGACGGTGGCGGAGCCGGCGATGGCGCCGGCGATCATGGACTCGACGGTGGTGAGCTTCTTGCTGGCGCGTCCGGCCCTGACGGCGGCCTTCTCGAAGAAGGCGCGCGTCCACTCGTACCAGTAGTAGTAGACGAAGTTTGTGATGCTGATGCCGAACAGGGCCGAGTTGATGCCGGAGTACAGGCCCGCCACGCCCTCGCGCGCGACAATCTTGCGGACCGCGTCGGCGAACTTGCTCTCGGCCTTTCTGGATTCCACCTGGGCGCGCGTGGAGAGGGTGATGAGAGGGTATCTGTTTTTCTCGTGTGGGTATGTGTGTGTGTGTGTGTCTGCGTGTAAGCTACACATGCCATTGCATTTCGAGTTTCTTGGGCAGCGTAGACATGAACAGTACATACGTCAAGATCATGGACAACAGACCACCGCCCGCGCCGGCAAGAGCGTGAGCGACATTGTCGTTCTGAGGAATGGGAGCCTTATTGGTGGACATGACGATGAGGGGGAAAGGCGATGATGATGATGATGATGATGGGACGAAAAGTGAAGTGAAGCAAAGGAGGGGAAGGGGTTGGTTCTGCGAAGGTGTAAAGGAGAGGTCCGGTTTAGCTCCCGAGGAACATGAGATGAGAGGACGAGAGGAGACGATACAGTGTGAGAGAGAGAGTGAGACAATGAATGGCGACTTCAAGGAAAAACGAGCTCTGTAGTAAGCGACAGAGAGTAACAGGACAGAAAGCGTTGTTTGAAGAGAAGGTGCTGGTCTATGATATCGAGAGGGAGGAGGACGGTGGTGGGCAGTCCAGCCGAGGTCGTTAGAGGGTTTCCGCAAACCAACTTCACAGGCTGCCGGATTTTCCCCAGCGCATTGAAAGCTGCCGCATGTGATGTGACGTATTGACCTCTTTGGGTGAGGGCGGGGCGAGACCCAAGCCGAGCCAAGTCTGGGGGGGGGGGGGGATGCCGCCTGCGAGTGTTACGATTTATTGCCCACAGTGGGTTTACGGGTTTACAGGGCACTGATATAATACAGATTAGTCTTATCGTAGGGAGTCTAGCAGGTGGGGGGGGGTCCTAGGAGTTTTGCTATCTATCTACATCCTGCATGTGCTCGGTACTCGTACATGTATTGGTTGTATACAGGTCCTCCCGACTCCTAGGATCGCAATCATAGTCTACATAATATACGTATTACATGTAATCTGTGCAGGCACGAGACTGTGGTGAGTATCAATATATCAATATATAATCTAGAGTACAATGTAATACGATGTAATCTGTACAGATTGCAGATTACTGTATATATGGCTGGCTGGCTGACTGGCTGACTGGCTGACTGTATGGGCTGGTCAGAACGTTATTATGTAATACGAGGATGTACAGATTACCGTAGTAGTACTGAGTACCTTAGAAGAAGCCGACTATTAACCGGTCATGGAAGAAATCCGGAGAGATAATTCTACCGATCTCCGAGAAAACGGTCCTGCGCTAGTCCATGATGGGCTGTGCGTAAACAAAAGGGTCTGGCTTTGCCTCGCGCCTAAGATGCGGTCGCCAGTGGCAGCGGTTGGCTGTATGGTTACTCGTACTTGGAGAGATACCGAGAACATGTAGAGGCCTGGCGCGTACGAGCATCACTGTTAAGCTACGGATGTATAACATGTATTGACGGTTTTCCGGGTAATAATACATATTGAGTATATCATCATCATCCGTATAGATTACACTGACTGGCATCATTTATCATTACCGGTGAAGGAGAGTACTACCCGACTCGATAATCTCACGCTCAAATTGATTTTTTTTTCCCTTTTATATATATATATATATTTAAAAAAAATTAATTTTTTTCTTTTTTAAAAAAAAAGGCACATTTCGCATTGCTCCGTGTCATCTGTAAAATCCTTTAAATTTCCTTCTCAGCCTTTCCTACCTTTTCTCCTTCTCTTTTTTTCTCTGTCTTGGTGATCTGCACCAATCGTTCCTGTCATGTTTGGAAAGATCCTCCGGCCGCCCCGCCGCCAATGTTAAAGACGTCGCTTCGCGTCGACACGCCGCCGCCACTACCGCTAACCACTGGCACCAACGCTGCTGCCGCGTCTGCGACGAACGTCACTAGGTAGTAATAGCAATACTAGTAGCTGAGAAGCTCGAACCCAGAAAACTCGACACCACCCCCCCCCCCCCCCCCCCCACGCGTTGGCACGCCATTGCCACCTCCGGCGCAAGACACCATGTCCTCACCGGACCCCCTCAACGACGAATCCTCCCCCCCAATCGCGCCGCCGTCCTCCCAGCGCGTCACCCACAGCCGCAGCCGCAGCCGCAGCCACCACCGCTCCTCTCGCTCCCTCTCTCTCGGCGTCGATGGCGGCTTCGGCAGCATCGCATCATCGCCACGGAAACAGAGATTCGAGCTGGAAGTCGGTGGTCAGACCTCACCGCAGAGGCTGCTAATCACCGTCGAGACCGAGGACAGCGCCCGAGCAAGCCCGACCGACATGACGACGCGCAGGATATTCCCCTCGCCCAGCCCGTACGTGAGCCGACCGCCCGGCCCTCGCGCCGTGACAACCACGATCCCGCTCAGGGACCCCATCGAGGAGGAGGAGGACGGCGACGATGACGGCATCTTCGGAGACCACGGCGGCCTGGGCACGCCCAGGCGGAGGAGACGGACGAATGGGACGCCCGTCCCCAAGAAGAGGACGAGGGCCGGCACACCTGTCCGTCGAACGTCCAGGCGGGAGAGCGCGTCGCGGCAGCTCACCCGCGACGACGACAACAACAACAACGAGCTGCTGCAGCTCACGCCCACGCCGAAGAGGAGAAAGGGCCGTCCGCCCACCCCCAAGGCACCCCCGATCGACGCGACAAATCCAGAGGACGGCATGGGCAGCGACACGAGTATAAACCTCGACCGCATATCGCGCGGATCGCGTACTCCGACCCCGACCCCTATATCGAGACGAAGACCCAGACCCTCCAAGAGCCTGTCGATCGAACGGCCCACCCGCAGAGAGACGGTGGCCAGCCCGGTGCGGAAGAATCGAGCACCGCCTCGCGAGCCAGAGTCGGAGTCAGACGTTGCCGAGCCAGACCGCCACGCGACGCCGAGGAGTAGCCGGCCCGTCGGAAACCCATCTGCGGAGCCCTCGAGCAATGTGCGGACGAGCTCAGCCGCCAGGACTACCGGGCTGCTGCGGACAGCGCGTCGTCGCCGCCAGGCGATGGCGCCTGAAGAGCTGGCCGGCATGACGGGTATGCAACAGGCGGAGCAGCCCGCTCCTCAGCCGACCCCCTCGGCAAGCGACGATGACATGGACCTCATCGAAGCTGTCGAGCCGCCGCCGCCGCCGCCGATCGAAGACTTGCAGGATGACGAGGGTCGCTACGCCCCCCAGCAAGAGGAGGGGCCGTACGCTCCCCGGGAAGGAGAGGAACCGACAGTGATACCTGCAGAGCCATCTCCGCCCGCCGAAGACGAGGAACCGCAATCGGACATATGGATGGCCACGATGTCAGATCACGAGGCAACACCGCGCCCGACACGCTCGGGGCCAGGACACACTCCGGGACCCAACGCAAGGATATCGCCCGAGGCCGAGGCTGACGTCGAGAGCATTCCATCCGAGGCAGAGGGATACGCAGAGGGCCTCCCCTCCTCTAGCGACGCTCCGCCCGTGGCCGGGGAGCCGCACCAGAACGCGACGCAGAACAACGACACCGTCGCCCAGGAAGACTTCAGCATGATCTTTATGGACTCGATCCCTTCGTTTCAGGACTTCAAGAGCTCCATCCCTGGGTTCAGGAGCTCGTTCAAGAGCTCTGCCCCTCGACTCCGTCCCGTTCCCGCTGCCGCCAGCAGCGAACTGGGCGATGAGACGAACCAGATCATAAATGACACGCTCGAATCCCTGCGGCAGAGTGTCGCTGGTGCTGGTGCTGGTGGTGCTGCCAATCAGGACGGCAACGACGACAGAAGCGGCCAGGGTAACGAGGCCGCGCCTGCGGAGGAAGATGCACGTGGCGGCTGGTTTGCGGAGTCGTTTGCCGCGCAGGACACGGACATTGCGGACGAGCAGCCCGAGATGCAGCAGGTGGGACGCGAGTCCCTCACGGTGCCACCGGTGCACGAACCATCTCAGGAGGAAGAGGTTGGGCCGGACGTCGAAGAGCCACTGTTTGTACAGCCAGACGAAGAGGACGGGCCAGGGCCGGGGCCAGGACACGAACACCACGTACACTGGGGCGAAGAACAGCTTGCACCATCTCCGCTAGAGCCGTCGTCCGATGCCGCGGAGCCTCACCAACAGACCTCGGCCGCCTCGACACCCGCCATGTCCACCGCGGCCTGGTCCGCTCACCGCGCCTTCTCCCCCAGCCTGGCGCGCTCTCCATTCAGGGTCCACGTATCCCCGCTCAGACGCAAGGTCCTCGACTCTACGGTGCGATACCCCGACCTCACGCCCAGGATCGCGGCCATGAGCGCGGCGGCATCGTCGTCTCCGGCCGTCTCGCCTGCTTCCGCTTACGCCCCTCCCGACACCACCGTCACTGTCCCCACCGGGGCTCTGGCGGAGCCACCCCGCAGGCCACCCTATGACGGCGACGCGAACGCCTACGATGACTCCTTCTCCGAGATCCCGCAGGCGATATTGGACGCTGCCACTCCTCGGAAGGCTGCGACCCAGGCCGTGATGCCCATGGACGAGAATCAGCCTGGGGAGGAGCTGCGGGACGGGGAAGAGGAGGAGCCCAAGGTGGAGCAACCTGGGGATGACCCGGCATCGGTGGAGGAGCAACCGAATGATGAGGAAGAGCTTGAAGGAGAGCAGGAGGAAGAGCAAGGGGAAGAGGATCGAGACGGAGAGCAGGAAGAAGAGCAGGAAGGAGTACAAGGCGATGCTGCCCATGAGACGGAGCCATCAGCGCAGACTGCTCAACCCGATAGCGCTCGTCTGCCGACTCCAGATGAGACGCCGGACGAGATGGATGTCAGCAGGAGCCCTCACGAGCCCTCCCAGACGTTGCCACCTGCCGAGCCCAGTCACCAGCTCACCAGCGAGAACAACGCGGCAGCCGCGGCAGCAGCGGAATCATCACCACTCGCGTCCCAGATGCTCCATCCGCCCCACAGACAGAGAGCGTCGGTCGAACGGGGTTCCTCCGCCATGGAATCCACCCCCCTGCGCCAGATGTCATCGCCAGCCCAGGGTCCCCTCTCCGCCGGAGGGGAGTCCCCGACGGACAGGGCTCCTCGACCTGCGCTGTCGGCTATCGTCCGAGCCGGGAGGGAGCTCCAAAACGTCACATCAGACCCGCCCTCCCCCGAGGGGCGCGACTATCAACTCGGAAGTCCGTTCAGGAGCTCTGCCAGCAAGGAGTCGTGGTCCGGATCACGCGAGCCCCAGGGCGGCAGCAGCAGCAGGCACCACTCCCTCCTGAGGAGTCCCAGCCGACGCGCGCCGAGCCAGCAGCGCCGATCTGCGTCTGTGGAGCGGGTACCCAGCGACCCCTTCGGTCCGGCTACGAGGAATACGGGGCAGCACAGCTTCATGGAGGCCCTTGGACAGAGCACCGCCAGCCGTGGACGACCGCCGTCTCTCAGCGGCGGCGTCAAGGAGAGACCCCGCGCGTCGTCGGTCGCGAGCTCCATGCGCATCACTCCCCCGGACGAGGCCATGAGCTGGGTGGCTGACGAGGGGCCCATCAGCCCCAGGCTCAGAGGTGACGTCTCGCTGAGGGGAGCGCCAGCGTTACCTGCCGCTCCCCTCTCTGCCGCAAGAGGTGCCCTCGGACCGTCGGCGGCAGAGTCCGAGCTCGAGCCCGAGCCCGAGACAACGCAGCAAAATGCCGACAACGACAATGGCAATGACGATGACGACAGCGACGACGAAGACGAGACGGATATCTGGGAGGTCGAGGCCCTGCGAGAAGACGTCCGCTCCCCCACGCATCAGCTTCCCTTTGCCCACAAGGATCCTGCCGCCTCCGCTGCTCCACCTCACAGACGTACTGCCCTGCCAAGTAACTGGATGCGCAGGTCCGCCAACACCTCCTGGGCCACGGGGAACACGTCGATAAATAATACCACTGCTGCCGGGGACGAACCCGAGGAGTACTCGCTACTTGCGCAGCGACAGCAGGCCGAGGCTGCAGAGAAGGAAAAGGCAGCAGCTGCCGCAACAGAGTCGGCAGCCAAAGCGAACCGATTCGACCTGGCGTCCTTCTTCTCGTCACCGTCCGCCATCCCCGGCAAGCTGGCCGAGAAGCTGTTCCCGTCACGCAACGTGGCATCGAGGGAAAGACAGCAGCAGCAGCAGCAGGAGGAGGAGCGGAAGCAGCAGCGGAAGCAGCAGCAGCGAACTCAGCCGCCCCCTCCCGCCGTGCCAACAAGCACCATGTTCCCCGCCGCGGCCACCCAACCGCACCAGCAATCCGACATAACGACGACGACAACATCGTCTCCCCAGCAGGAGCAGGAGCAGGAGCAGGAGCAGGAGCAGGAGCAGGAGCAGGAGCAGGAGCAGGCCCAGGCCCAGGTCCAGGCCCAGAATAGCCACCGAGCCGCAGAGGACGGCGCAGATCACGGCTCCGCTTCGCCCGACACCCTCGAGCGCCTAGAGATGCCCGTTTCAGCCCAGAAGAAGAGGAATTTTGCCCCGCTTCCACGACAGGCCAACCGGGCCCCGGCCCAGGCGCAGAACCCATCCTTCTTCCGCTCGTCGTCTGCCACCGCTGCCGCCGCAGAAACGGCCACGCCACCGCAGACGCAGCTCTCCCGCGCCGACATCCAGCGCTGGCAGCAGCAGACGTCACAGGCCAGCGACGGCTCGGACAGCGAGCAGCAGCGTCGTCCGCGCGCCTTCCTCCGACCTCTGCCACCGCGCAACGCCTCCCCGTCCAAGTCGGCCCTCCGCTCACCCCTCAAGCCACACACGCCCGGCCGCGTGGTCGAATTCACAAGCAGCGTGCTCTCACCTCTAGAACAAGCCAAGCAACGCCAGCAGCAGCAGCAGCAAGCTCACAACCTATCCTTTGTCGAGACTACGAGTCATCATGACAAAGAGCTCGGGGAAGAAGAGGAAGAAGAAGAGGAAGAAGAAGAGGAAGAAGAAGAGGAAGAAGAAGAGGAAGAAGAAGAGGAAGAAGAAGAGGAAGAAGAAGAGGAGGAAGAAGAGGAAGAAGAGGATATATCCATGCATGATGCTACCCCCCCACCACTATCTCAGACATGCTGGACCCGTCAGCACTGGCTCCTGATGGAGAAGCTCATCCGGCACCGTCGCACCACACCCTTCGCCCCGCCCTCCTCGTCGGCTTCATCCTCCCTTCTGGGCAAGACGGTCCGCAGCCACGGCCGGTCCCTCGTCCTCGAGACCTGGCACCTGGACTGCGTCGACGCTTTCAATTCCATCGTGGGAGGCTGGGACGACGGCGCCCTCGCCAAGAGGCTGTTCGCCCTGCTTCTCGCCGAGGAGAAACGTCGTCGCAAGGCTGCCGCTCGCAGACGACTTGGTCGTCATGGTCCTTCTCAGCAAGGGATTCCCTCTCGCAAGACTGCCATGTTTCATTGATTCTTCTCTTCTTCTCCCTCTTCCCCCTCCTCCTCCTCCTCCTCCTCTCTCTTTTTTCCTCCCCTTGTACGTGAGGAGAAAAAAAAACTTGTATTTTCTTCGACTCCCCTTTTTGGTTCCTGGGTGTCTCTTTCCATTATATTAGCATTTTACGACATGATTGCATGATTGGAAACGGTGTAAGGGCGTCTTTTAATTCTTCTTCTTTTCTTCGTCTTTAATTTTGCATCATTCTGTTCTTATTCTGTTCAGAAAAGAAAATGATACCACTATTGTTTGATCTCTTTGGTAACTTGATCACCGAATGGGCAAATGTGACAAAAATTGGAATCGATGGTTTTTTTTTCTATCTTCGTTTCGCGCCCTCCCTATTCCACACCACCACTAAAACGCCCTCGTTCTACTGGTGACATGCCCTAGATACATTACATGCAAAACACGTGCTCTTGTGCGCTCTGCCGTCTGAAGAAGGATTGGCCCCCCTTAATCCGCGTCTTCCCTCCCTCCTTTTTTTTCTCCCGTTTACTCCAGCTGTGATGCCTGGTTTATGTATAGGGCGTCGACGACGCTGCTCAGCTTTTCAATAGTACTGAGGGCGGCGTCGTACGACTCGTCACGCTGGGTCTCGTCAAAGATGATGAGACAGCCGGCTCCCTGATCCAGGACACCAATAATGACCTTGTCGAGAATCATCTGGGACAGCTTGCGCTCGACCTGCTGATTGTCCAGGCCAACCATCTTGGCAATGTGATCGATCTCGACACGGGAGAAGGGCTCGATGACCTTGATCAGGTTCTGCTCGAGCATGGCATCGTAGAGGCGGCGGAGGTGGTTGCGGATGAAGGCATCGCTGCCGAGTTCGTAACGGTAGGCCGCCAGGGCGCGCTCGTACTCCTCGAGCGAGCGGTTCGAGTGAGCGCGGGCAATCGCCTTCATGGCCTCGAGGTTCTTGCCGGCGTACTTGAGGGCCTGCTTGGACGTCATGAGCTGGTTGACGTCCTCGGCTAGGTTGAGCATGATCTTGCTAAGAAGCATGTATTGCAGGGCGGCCTGGGCCTTGTTGCTCTCGTCGAGGCTGTGGTAGCCGTCCAGGGCTTCGATGAAGTAGGAGAAGGCCGTGTTGAAGTCCTTGTCCTCGGCGTGGAGCATGCCGCTCTGCATGTCTAGATTGGCCTGGAGCAAGGGTGGCGTGTAGACGCTGGCAGCACTGGTGCGGGCACTCGTCAGGGCGGCGCGGGCCTTGGGGATGTTCCCGAGGGCGTGGTAGACACGCGACTCGAGAAGCTGAACCTCGACGAGGCGGAGCTTGTCGTCGAGACGCTTGAGCTCACGTAGGAGACCGTTGATGAGGGTCAGGGAGTCGTAGTAGGCCAGCTTGGTCATGTAGAGGGTGACGAGGCGGACCTCGAGGTCCTGACGCTGGAAAGCGCGGCGCTCGGCTGTGGCCCATTCTATACAATCCTTTGTCACGGAGATTTCGATGTCGGTGCTGTTAGGGATGTCTCGGAAGAGGTCGAGGAGCTGGCGGACTGCAGGCCAGGGATCGAGTCTTAGTTATTGTACGGCACACTGGCGAGCAAGACCATCAACACGGTGTCGTCGGGATATACGTACCCAGCTTAGCCGACTTGGCCTTTGCAAATGACGAAAAGACATCTCTGCTATCCTTTACTAAGCTGACAAGCTGCTGCGTCTTGCTGGGGGTGGGTCAGTACAAAAAATCGAAATCAAGGGCGGGGGGGTGGCAGAGAGGCACCGACTTTGCATCCCGGTAGAGCTCTCCCAGGCTCACCAGGGCAGTCTCATACTCGCGCGTAGCGGAGTCAGAGCCGGCCCTGGGAGGCTTGGATGTGATTTCCTTGAAGGCGGCCTCAGCTCGCGCTGGATCCGTCTTTGCGAGCTTCTGGGCTTCCTGGACCCTCTCCGACTCGGCGACCGCCATGGTGATCTCTGTGTATATATATCTGTGTGGCTCGATATCGTTCTTGTTGGCGGGCAGAATATCCGGAATGGCCGGTGGGCAAGTCGAGCATAGATCGGAATTGAAGCGATGTTGGTTTGGTATGGTCGGTGATGACGACGACGACGATGATGATGGATAATGAAGACACACGCTCCAGAGCTGGCTGCTGCCGCCCACGACCAACAGGTTGCAGCACAACGACGTACACACTTGGGGAAAGAGCGGGGCGGGACCGGATCGCTGTATCTGTCATTGGCCGTTGAGTCTCCGTGCTGAGCTTCTCTTAGCTTTCGAGCCAGAAACGCCCAAGTCACGTAGCGGGTAAACTGTTGATCCCGTTTCCGGGGGCGGTCTCCGGTGCCGGCAGTACGCTCACTAGCAACATGTACGAGTACGCTGTATAATACAGGTTTGAGTATTACTCCGTAGTGGTTTCACTGCAGTGAACATGTATACTACCGTACAGGTTAGTAGTAGCGTATTCCCCCGGCATTACATTCGTATGTGGTAATAGCGGCCTCGGATAGCACCTGTTCGAATATCGAATTGAGATTACTCCGAGATTCATCCGACAAGCTTGGCCTTACTGCCTGTTCTGCCAGTTCTCGCTCCGTTCCTGGGGCTTTCTTTGCGCCCCGAATTTTCAGACCCTTCAGGTTCTCTATACTACAACAAATTAAGCGCGTGACGACCCATCATCACCATATCTCCCCCCCCCCTCTTCTTCCTCTCATTCCACCATCACATCAAGACCAAAATGTTCCGTCAAACCCTCTCAACCTCCTCCCGAGCTCTGCGCTCTGCCGCGCCCAAGCTGGCGTCTGGCCCCCAGCCCCTGCTGCGTCCTCAGCAGCTCCGCACAGCTGCCCCCGTTTACTCGTTACGCTCTGCTTTCCAGCCTTCCATGACGCGCTGGTATAGCGAGGTCAAGGACGAGGCCAAGGATGAGGCCAAGAAGGACGAGGCCAAGAAGGACGAGGCCAAGAAGGACGAAGCCAAGAAGGCTGAGGAGGGTGCCGCCAAGGAGGATGGTGAGGCCGACCCTACGGCCGAGCTCAAGAAGGCCCTCGAGGTCAAGGAGAATGAAGCAAAGGAGTGGAAGGTAAATATGTCCCCCCCCAAATACGTCGTCGTCACCATCATGACCTATACAACCATGACTAACGTTGCTCTCCCACACAAAATAGGACAAGTGTCTTCGCACCGTCGCCGACTTCCGTAACCTCCAGGACCGCACCCAGCGCGAGGTCAAGGCTGCCCGCGACTTTGCCATCCAGAAGTTCGCCAAGGACCTCATCGACAGTGTTGACAACCTCGACCGCGCCATGTCAATGGTCCCCAAGGAAAAGATCAAGGACGGCTCCAACAATGACCTCGCAACCTTCCATGAGGGCATCGTCATGACGGAGAACGCTCTGATGCAGACGCTCCAGAAGCACGGTCTCGAGCGCGTCGACCCTGAAGGCGACCGCTTCAACCCCAACGAGCACGAGGCCACTTTCATGGCCCCCCAGGCTGACAAGGACGACGGCTCCGTCTTTCACGTCCAGCAGAAGGGCTTCAAGCTCAACGGTCGTGTCCTCCGTGCCGCCAAGGTCGGCGTCGTCAAGAACAAATAAACGACTGAGACACACGCACCACTTCTTGTCTACAACTCCTCCCCACATTTTTCAGGAGTCGACTTACTCCCCGCCACTTTTTCCTCCTTAATGTCCATGAGGGAAAGAGGGACTTAACACCAAAAAAAAAAACTTGCATTACTGGGGAATGAAAGAACAAAAACAGGGGCGACTCAATGTCGTGTGTACTACTAGATGGGCATTTTTCTTTTTGGGTTTCTATTATTTTTTTCTTTTTCCATGGCGTTGGTTTTGAAAACCACTGTTGTATAATGCTCCTCTCATGAAAAATCCTCACTGGCGGTCGTTGGGTGTATTGGTATTGGATGTTGTACATCTACTCAGGGGAAAAAGAAAGGCTGGCCTCCCCCCTTGTTCTTCATCTCTGGTGAATGGGGAAGGGGAGGGGTCGATATACTTCGTCCCTTGATTGTAAAATAATCATAAGAGCGGGCGAAGTAGATGTCGCCTTGCTGGAGATGCACATGAGTTCGATGGATGGCATGTTGCTGTATACTTTGATAGCTGTCCACGGGACCACGGGGCAGACAAGGCTGTTCCCAGTGAGCTTCGTCTACATGGATATACACCATGGAACTTCAATATAATACTCTCCTCCCTAGGCTCATCTCACAGGTTGTGTGTGTATGTGCAACTTCTTGACTTGGATGAATGCATTTGAATCATCCTCCCAAGGGATATTGATTATACCTAAAAATATCATGACAGACATGGACAAATGCCTCACACTCCGTCATCTCGTTCCCTCTATATACGGCAGCAACGGTAGCCTCTTATTTCTTGGCCTTGGCCTTTGGCTTAGCCTTGGGCTTCTTCGCACCACCGTCATCGTCGCTGTCGCCCTCGGCAGCCTTTGCCGGCTTCTTGGCCGGCTTCTTCTTGGGCTGCTTGATGTACTTGTCCTTCTTGAGGTCGATCTCGCCACTGTCATCGTCAGCCTCGGGCGCCTCGACGGCTTCGCCGTCCTCCTCCTCCTCAATGGCCTCTTCCAGATCGGGAACCTCCTTGGCCTGCTTCTTTGGTGCCATGACGTTGTCGGTTCCCTTCATGAATGGCACTGGGTGGCTCATGGCATTGTACCTGGGGGTTGGGGGAATGAATGGTCAGCGTCATGCTTTGCCTAAAGTGGGAAGGAAAGGGAGGGAAAGGGGGGGAGCTCACGTTCTCGTAAAGGCAGCCTTGGCCTTGGAGTCGATCGACACCAGGTCCTCATTCATGTAGCCGACACCAAGCTCCTGGATGGCATCAAAGTCTTCGCGCGTAAGGTAGTAGCTGTCCATGAGCTCAATGACATCTTTGACGGCGTCTGTACTCTCGTTCTGCAGCCGGTTGATCATCTGGTCCCACAGCACGGGCATGTACTCCTGTCGGATCTCGTTGTGGTCGCCAGAGGACCTGAGACGCATGTGCGAGTGGATCTCGCGCGTGTAGCGGCCGAGCTTGCCCGTCTTGCTAAAGTTACCCAGCCACGAGGTGAAGCTGGAACCCATCAGCTGGCCGGAGATGAAGCTCGCCGGCCGGACTGTGCTGAAGACGGCGTGCGTCGGCATGAGCGACCAGTGCTGCTGCGGCCCGTGGATCATGCGGTCCACCAGGTCGCCGTCACTGATGCTCTCGGCGGCGCTGTCAAACAGCTCCAGGGCCTTGAGCTTCTGCTCCCGGGGAGTGTATCCCTTGCCGTTGAGGAGCATCGGCTTTGTCCGCAGGTAGTTCTCCTGAATCATGAGGAAGCTGAACTCATGGTCGTTAAAGTACAGCTCAATCTTGTCGTTGAGCGTCGAGCTGCTCGACGGGGCAAAAAGACCGCCCCCTAGCATCTTCTGGCAGATGTCCCAGGGCTTGAGAATAACGTGCTTCTCCCACGCCTTGGTCATGGTTTTTGTCTGGTCGAAGTCCATACTCTTTTGGTCAAGCTTGGCAGTGGCGATCATGTTGATGATTTGACGGATGTCCTTGTTGCTGCCCTCGATCAGGGCATCGATGACTGGCACCGGCAGCTTCAGGCCCTCGCGTACACAAATCGTCATGATGCGCGACCTGACCTGGTCCACCGTTGGGCGGTTGAACCGGATGTCAAAGGCAACGTGGTCAAAGGGCTTCATCTTGGGTAGCTTGCGTTCGTTGCAGATGAGGATTAGGGGGACCTCTGTCTTCTTGCAGAACTTGGCCAGGGCACCAACACCACCTCGATCGCCGGCCGACATACCGTCAACCTCGTCCATGATGAGAACCATGTTCTTCTTGCCATTGTCCACGTTCTTGCCATCGCCGGCAAAGAAACCGAGCAACGAGGTATTGTTCATGACATCACTGACGCCAGCCTCGACCAACTTCTTGCTCCTCGTATCGCTTGCGTTGCTTTCGAGTACATCGAACCCCTCGAGCTTTGCAGCCAAGTGAGCAGCGGTCGTCTTTCCGATTCCCGGCGGACCTGAGAGGATTACAGCACGTTCGCCGCCTAGACCGTCGGCACCTCGTCGCTGGAAGTTGTATTTTTTCGACTTCGACCAGTTCCTGAGCCAGCTCTGGATCTTTTCCACCTGTGCCTTGTTTCCACAGATGTGGCTGAGTTGAGTGGGAGCATATTTTGATGTCAGCAGCTGAGCAGTCGGAGCAGCAGGGGGCGGGGCAGGTTTGTATGAGTCCCCGCGAGCAGCAGCGGCTGCCTTGGCCTTCTTGGCCTCCTCCAGCTTCTTTGCCTTCTCCTGCGCCTCCATCTCGGCAGCCTCCTTCAGGATCCTCTCTTCCTCAGCCTTCTTCTTCTCCTGAGCCTTCTGAGCACCCTTGCCCGAACCGCCAAACGCCGGAAGTTTGCGGACGAGGTCAAAGAGGCCGTTCTCATCGATAGTTTTGATGCCCAGCGACTTGATCTTGGAAAGCTTGCTGGGCCCAGCATCCTCACCGAGGACAACAAAGCTGGTCTTACTGCTCGGCTGGCCGGTAACCTTGCCGCCGTACCGCTTGACTAGGGCCTGCGCCTCGTCGCGCCCAACTGTCTGCAGGAGGCCGGTGAAGACAAATGTCAGGCCGGTAAGGCACTCCTCAGCACCCTCGGGCATGTCGGCTATGGGGTTCTGCGGTGCTGCCGCTGCATTGCCTCCACCAGTCGCCTTTCGCCAGTCGAATTTGACATTAGGGTCCTTAGGAGGGGGTGTCGGAGGCCGGACGGTGGTCACGCTGTTGAGGATGTTCTGGTAGGCCGAGTCTTCGTCTTCGGCGGGCTTCTGGGCCCTCGGGGCACGGGATTTGCTGGCGGGCGCCTTCTTCTTCGGGGCCGGCTCGTCTGATTCCGAGTCTGGTTCCGGTGTCTTGCGCTTCTTGGCTGTTGATGCAGATCGCGAAAGCTTCGCATCGCCTTCCGCGACCTTAGCGGAGCGACCGCGCGCCGCGAGACGTTTGGGCTCGGGGAGGACTTCCTCTTCCGACTCATCATCCTCGTAGTCGTCATTCTTGCGCCTTCCCCGGCCCTTGATATCAGCAGCAAATATGTCATCGTCGTCCTCGTCTGCATCTTCCATGTAGGCATCATCATCGTCGGCTTCGTGCTTCTTGTAGTTCCCCGCGGGGCGCTTCTTGGCGGGTGTGTCGTCCTGGGCCGGGGCGACAGCCCGTTTCCCGCGGGGACTCGCCCGCACCGGGACTTCGGTCTTTACACTGGCCTTGGGGTCGCTCTTCTTTGCCGGTCCAGCCTTGGCGGATTTGCTGTCTTTGGAAGATGCAAAGTAGTCGTCAGCCGTTATGGCTACTCCCTTGAGTTCGGTATCCCTGAGCAATTGTTTGTCAGATGTAAATCGCATCGGTCCCAGAAAATCATACTTACGCAGCTTTCCTTTTCGGCGCCGACTTTGCTACAGGCTTCTTCTCCCTAAAGATAGACGATTAGCTCTTTCTCGACGCGCAAGCCTAGAAGGTTGTTCGGCGTACTGGATTGGCTCGTCGTCATCGTCGCTGTCCTCAATAACCTTGCGGTTTTCTGTCGAGATGTTAGCAGGCACTTACGGTGTCAGAGACAGGATAACTAGTCATACTTGAACGCTTGTTCTTCGCATCGTCGGCGGGCTTCGCGGCAGGCTTCGCCGGGGCGGGGACACCACCACCCTTGGACGTGAAGAAAGATCGAATGTCAGGCATGATATATAACGGCACAGCTTTTCAAAAAAAAAAAAAAAAGATGGGAAGAAGCCAAGGCCGAATAGAAAAGGGGATATAATGGCCCTTTTCAGGACATCGGGAAGAGAGCCCCTGGTGCAATGTTTTCTGGGAGATAGCTAGGCAGCCAAGGGTTGGTAGTCGAGGAAAAGTGACGTCCACGGTATTACAGGCGTGTGTGCTAAGAGCCTGGGGAACACGAAGTTGACGCGGAAGGCGTGACCCATTGGCGTAACCGTTAAGAGGCAGCAGGAGCCAGTACGGACTGTACGAGGAGGGTACGTACCTGCTTCTGTACTCTCCATGTACTCGGCATTACTGCCATTGCTGTGTACAGGTGTATCTACCTTTCCTGCCTGACCATTTAGGCGGCTAAATTGGCTCCACTGGGAGGACATTGGAGCAAAGCGGATTTTCCTCTACGGGTAGGTCAGAAGCTCCCGACGACGACGAACAACCTCCCACCAACCCAACCCGCCCGACCGGACGCACGCATACAAGGATGAAGACGGCGGCCTCGAGCGTTTCAGTGCTGGCCAGCGCCCTCCGGGGACTGACGCTGGGCGGAAGCTCATCGTCGTCGGCGGCACTGCGACAGCTGCGAGCCCCTGTGCAGCAACAGACCCGGAGCCTGGACGTTGCACGCGCTTTCTCGACGACGAGCCCTGTAATGGGCACATGGCTCGAGCCCTCGATCAACCGCCGGAAGAAGATGGCCAAGGGCCGGCCTCGTGTGGCCACCGGAGGCTCGACAAAAGGCACGACGGTGCAGCAGGGCGACTACGGTCTGCGCATGGTCGACCATCACAGGAGGATCAGCGCCAAGTCGCTCAAGATGGCCGAGGACACGATCAAGAACCGTCTTCGTGGAGAGAAGTATCGTCTCTACAAGCGTAAAAACTGTGACATTGGTGTCTACGTCAGCGGAAACGAGGTATGCTTCTCCTTCTCCTTCTCTTTTTTTTTTCATGTATTTCCTCAGTCAGCAAAAAAA